CTGTCTGTCGCTGTTAATTTCACACCCCCTCTCATTTAGTGTTAGTGTTTTCATATCAGTGACATGAACATTACTGCGTAATGACAGTAAGTCTTGATGCCTAAAGAACTGATTGCTCTAGTCCTGTCATATCAAAGACACAAAGGAGTCTTTAGTAAATAAATCAGACTATTCTGCTCCAGCCTACACAGAGAGCATCCCGTCAGCGTGCTCTGAAGGTCTGGGCTAAACGCTGTCTATTTCTCTCTTCTCTTTTGAAGTCAGAGATCGGAGGCTGGACATGAAGATTTAGACGTCTCATCAGCAACACCACAAAACTGCACATAACTAAGGCTGGCTTTACAGGCTCTGTGTTAAGGGCTAACTCCAGTGCTTGTTGTTTTGGTTTGTTTTCCTCTGGCTTGGCCAAACGGAGAGAGTCATTAATGCTCTAATACTGGAATGTGTTTGTTCGCCTCTTTAAGCTGAACTTTCTCCATTTTTTTTTAAAGCAAAAAGGTCTTTTTTTTTTTCATTTCAAACTTCATAATCGGTCACTACAAACATTACACACCATTATGAGACAAATCATCCTCGCCTCACCTAAAGAAATCAAAACGTACCCTCTTCACTTTCTTAAAGGGGTCCTATTATGCCCTTTTATGAAGTCTTGATTTTGTTTTTGGGGTGTTCTGAAATATGCTTTTATTCGTGATAGTTTAAAAAACATATTTTACATTATTACAGCACCTCTCCCCCCAGTCTGGCTCGAAGACGCTGACTGTGATTGGCACTGCGTGTTCGGTAAATTTTACACCCCTCACCATAACTGCGAGTTTCATCTGCTCAGATGCAAATATTAAGGATGGCCTCAATTTCAAACCAATTCTGATTCAGACTGCAGAATGTTATTAATCCAGAGAATCGTGAAAAAGCATAATAGGACCCGTTTAATAAATATCACTAGTGTTGTGCAGGATCCATCATTGCATGTTAATCATAATATTTCTTTAAAATGCAATAAGATTCTCTGCTTCTGCACAGATTTTGAACCATTTGACCAAATAATATCATGTTCTAACCAAACCTACCAACCAAGTTCTTGATTAAAATCAAGTCACAAGTTATTGAATGCATCACTATGGATGTTCAATGCATGTTATATGCAGCTGTTTTTAAGAGACTACACTCGTAGAAGAAAAGGTTCTATATAGAACCTTAAAAGCTTCTATCAGCGCTACGTATTTGGAACCCCTAAAAGGTTCTATACACTCTGAAAAAAGGGTTCCACTGGGTTCTATATAGAACCCTGGGGTTCCGTACTTGACCAATAGAACCTTTTACCAAAAAAAAAAAAAACCATTTTGGAGTTCCATATATGAAGCGGGGGATGGAACCATTTCTGGTTCTAAATAGAACCATTTCTTCTAAGAGTGTATGAAAAACTATTCTATTCCATTCCATTCTCCACCCTACAAAGATACAATTGTATATATCATGCATTGTCAAAGCAAGTGGGATCAAAACATAATCCCTGCTCGACAAACTAACAACTATTAACTGCTTATGAACCTGAATTGTCCGTTTGAACTTGAATCATCCACTTATCACACACCCATGTTCAGAATGGGCTTCCCTGTAAATGTGTGACAAGTCTTCTGTTTGGCTAAGGAAGAAATCTGACTGTGGTATGTATTTTTAAATTCCATAAAAGAAGGCGCTAACTGCACCTTTAATGTTTTCGGTTTGCGAATATATTTGAGTCGCAATTAATTTGTCAGAAGTGCTATTACCATCTGAGAACATTTTGCTTCGGCAGCAGTAACATCTGAGGCACTTTCAGACTGCACTTTTGAAAAGTTGAAAGCTTCTCTGATATTGTCGAGTCCCATCATGTCACGTCGGTTTATTGTTAGAAACATTACCTTATACTTAGTCACAGCCCTGCGCTTTGTGGGTCATATTCTCTTTGCGTCAGTGAGAAATTGAAGAGGAAAAAAAAAAACCTTAAGCACACACACAGCTCAGCAGGGGCTTTGTTTCTGTCATCTCTTAAAGAGTTCCTCGCTACGTGGTGGGTCCGCTTGTTGTGGAACACGCTCTGGCTGTTTATTCTCCACTGAACCAAGTGGCACTATGATAAGATTCTGCCGCTGTAATTTTGCAAGGTCACATATCCATGGTGAAGATGTCTGGTTGGTTGATTCGTGCCCAATCGTTTCTTTCCTAACTGATGGTCTGGGCCTTCTTGCTTGATGAAATATCACAAGTCTTCAAATTAATGTTATGCTCTGGTGGTTAAACCTGGATTGGAATATTTCATACTATTTTTAGCAGCTGTGCAGGTTATATGCATATCTGAAGGACGAATATTGCTATACTGCTGGTGATTGTCTGGGATGCGTCAGTGGATAGACTTGATAGATTTTGTAGACGTGTAGCAATTAAATGAAAAATGACTATACCCAGTGTCATAAACGGTTTGGTCCTCCCGTTGAATCGTGTCTGCCTAGGACCCCAGGGGGTTGTGTTTTGCGATGCCTGATCAAAAGCCATAAGAATTTATGTGGTTATGTGTTTATAAGCTAAGCTAGTGTGGTATGCTAATGCTAGTGGTACTGCACACTACTTGTTGCTAGGGGTGTCATGATTCTCCAAATCCTCGATTCGATTACGTTTTCGATTCTAAGGTCACGGTTCGATTCTCTTGATTTTTATCAATCGGCCAATCAGGATGCTCTCTGCCTTACATGCGCTTCATGAGGCATACACGCAAAGTCTTTCGCTCTCTCCCTCTCTGCCGTGTGCGCGCAATACGGTTTGGAGCACGTTTTTTTCTGTCTCGGCATGCACACTCGCTCTTGCTCGCTCATTCTAGATTCCGAGAGATTTTAACTAATTTGCGTGCATCAGGGAGCCGCTATCAATATGCGGGAGACTCCCGGAGCTTTCGCGAGACTTGGGATGCACTTCAACGATTCCATTTTTTTTTTTTAATTCGAACTTCGAGATTGTGAATTAATTTCGATCGATTTCGATTTAAAATCGAAATCGTGACACCCTTACTTGTTGCACAGTTTGAATGAATGTTGTTAAAAGTTAGAATTATAAAAATGTCTGTGTTTTGTCAATTTATATTCATTTATTTTAGTCCGTTATACGATACTAAAAAAACCCATTTGATTTTAGTTTGTGAAAAATAACATTTTAGTTGACAAGTCCAAATTGAAACCAATAATTCAAACATTTATGTATAAAGAGCTATATTAATATTCACAATGTGACTTAAACATTCTCACTAGCACGAAACTTAGTTCAAGTCATTACTATTATTCAGCTAGGATGCATTCAATTGATCAAAAGTGACAGTAAAGAGAGACGTTAAAATTATATATGAATTTCTTTCAAATAAATACTATTCATTTGAACATTTTATTAATTCAAGAATCCTGAAAGAAGTTTTTTTTTTTTTTTTTTTTTTTTGCAAAAGTATTAAGCAGCAGATGTTTTAACTTTGACATAAGACTATTTTTTTTTATATTAGAATGATTTCTAGAGGATCGTGTGACAGTGAAGAATGGAGTAATAAATGCTGAAAATTCAGCTTTACTATTACAGGAATAAATGACTTTTTAAAATGTATTAAAATAGCAAACGGTTATTATAACGGTTATTTTTATAATGTTTCACAGTATTACTATTTTTACTGTGTTTTTTGATCTTATGAATTCAGCTTTGGTGAGATTCTTTCAAAAAAAAAAACCTTATTGACCACAAACTTTTGATGGAAGTGTATGTTGTGTATTTATCTAATCAATAATCATCATGCAGTACACAGTAAATTACATGTTTGGGTGAGTAAATTAACCTGTTGTGAAAGCGCTTTCACTGTTTATCTCAAGTGGATCAATCCATGACTGGAATATTAAAAACAATAATGCTGTCTTGTATCATTGAAAAATATATTGATGTTATTAACACTTCTGGAGATTTCTGTATTTTCCACTGCGTTCAGTTTAGCTGTTTTGAACAAGTTTTTTTTATGTAAACATTCTGCCTTAAGAAACTTGTCCAATTGGGGTCAGGTTATCCCAAAACTAGGTTAATTATACGGGGCTTCCCCTTACGTTATGCAGGCAAGTCCACCAACTATTCAAGTCTGAAAATATGCAACATTGCACATCCAAGTTGACTAACAGGTGGTCTAGGCTGCACATAAGGCCAGAAAAAAAAAGAGTAAAAAAACTAACAGGCTGTCTGTGATTGTGCTGGTTTTTAATAACCTAAAATAACGAGGATGAGATATTTTGACAAGCTTCCTCCTCAGTCGCCTTTTTTCTTAATGACTGTATTTTGAAACTCTACCTCGTTCATCAAATCTTTCACATCACAGCGGCGTTCGCAAATCAAACCTTTATTCATAAGTGCAGCTGTGTTTTGTTTCAGATTATTCCTGACAGCCCGTTTTCAGCTCGTTTAATTGCGCTCCGGCGGTTTAATTTCAGGACGGAAAGCTTTACATGTATAAATGACCTTCACGATTAGCTGATGCGCACGGCGCTTGGGGAGATTACGCTGATTTACATGTGTGACATCACTCACCTCCGTGGTTCACGTCTACGTGAAGCACGAATAAGAAAGCGCGCACTCTAATCCTGGGAGATTTTCTCATGTCACAGGGATGTACAATGATTCATGCTTGCAGCTGTCTTGTACTGTTAATTTCTGGTCCGTTTATGCTTCATTTGAGCCAGGAGCCTTAAACCTCTCATTAGTAAAAATCACATCAAGGCTCAAGTCCTGCCTGAACCTTTCTGGGTTGTAAAACATTTTACTTTCATTGCCAGTTCATTATTCTTTGTGTTCCACTTGTTCATCCACAAATGTTTGGTTGGATATTTGAGAGTCTATAAAACAGACACTATAAAGAGGAATCATTTCACATACCCTTTGTCCACGACTCCACATCCATCCCAGCTCTAATGACCTTCCCTTGCCTTTTTCTATCTCCCTTCAACAAGGCCAAGTGGAGTCAGTGGCCACGTTCAAGGGTAATGAGTTCTTCAGCTACGACCTGTCCCAAAAGCCCATCCAGAGCAGCACCGATGAAATCACCCTGTCCTTCCGAACACTCCAGCGGAACGGCCTCCTGCTCCACACCGGAAAGTCCGCCGACTACGTCAACCTGTCTCTGAAAAGCGGTGCTGTGTGCCTGGTCATCAACCTGGGCTCCGGCGCCTTCGAGGCTCTGGTGGAGCCGTCCGACGGCAAGTTCAACGACAACGCCTGGCACGCTGTCCGTGTGTCCCGCAACCTGCGTCAGGTAACGTTCACCTTTGCGCATCGTGGCTCCGCTGGGTCCTTCATTTGATCTTACCGATATTTTTGCTAATCGTTATTTGGTCAACTTGTGTTATTGTGTAGAGTATATGTACAAATGCAATATTTAGTCTTTAAAACGGTTTTTAGCGATTTCTGTTAGCTATAATAATAAGAGTCAACACATCACAAGCAGATTTTTTTTTATGTGATTCTGAGGACAGCCATTTCAGTGATATCCATCATTGTGTGTTAGTGTGAAAAAGTCAATCTTAATGGTTTTAAAATGTGCTTTTTCTGAAATAACTGTTGTTCCACATTAACCACATTGATTTTAGCCTCAAATACTGTGATGCCAAGATCACAAATGTATTGTTTGTTATAAAAGGTGAATTCCAGACTGCATTTTTCCGCACTGTAGGATATCTTTGCACTAGTTGCAGGCCGTTCCAAACAAAAGTGAGCAACCAAATGCTTTTAGGAAAGGTTGTTATCAAAGGGAACTTTGTGAAAGTATTTTTTTTATTAAAGTGCTTCCTAATTTTAAAGGTTCCTAATTTAGTTTTGGAGGTCTTCTACAGCAAGTTTACACATGAGTCAAAAGGTCATAAAAGACTTTGATTTTGAATCAGACTCTGATTCAAGCTTGCTCTGCTCTGATTGGCCAGACGGCCTAGTCTGTTGTGATTAGTCTACCACGTACAGCGCGGCTACAGCTAAATGCCTATTACCATAAATTGAGAGTCAGCGTCAGTTCTGGCAGGCCAAGTAGTCAAAATGCTGCTAACGCTATCAGCCGACAACACGGTCTTATCAGCGATCTGCTCAGCTGAGCTACGTCAGCGCATCTGCTGTTCATCTCCCCTCGTTGCTAAGGATTATGCTCAAATCAGGGTGCCCTATTTAAAGGTATAATATGTAAGAAGTTTGCAATTCCTGCAGTTGTGTACTTACAATATCCAAAAAGTCTCTAAAGATTTTTTTTATTTTAGAGAAATTCCAATTTTAAATGGCAATTAATTGGACCTCCCGGAAAAAAAAAAAAATGTCGTCTGTCAATGGCGCAATCTCCACGCTTTTCTCAGTTTCCGTTCATACTGCTATAGCCATGACGTAACCATGGCAACAGACGTGGACAACTGCGTAGTGCGTAACGTATAGCGGCACGTTTTGTTACTTTCAAACATAGACCATGGCAAGCTTAATTTGGGACAAACAAGAACTAAAATGAGGATCAATATCAGCGTGGCGTTTTTGAGATGCCGAGAGCTCCACGTCCGCGACTAACTTGGACTTGACAGAGTTTCACAAGTCACGACTTGACAGCTTTATTAGACAGGTGAGCAAATGTACATAAAACAAATCAATGTTATACAACGTTATCTCAACATGATGAAATGTTCGAATATGGTCAGTATATTATTCAAATGTTGATCTAGCTTACTGCTAGTTTCGTATAGCAAACGGACTAACACGTAACATTATAACTTTCAACACACATTTAAATGCCGTTTAGTGTGATAGTGTAACGTTAGGCCAAATGAAGCTGCGCTGCGTTACCTCACAAGTTTAATTGGTCTAATAAACTGACCTGTGTGAGTCATCCAGCACTTGCTGGCAGTTCGGTAGAATTAATACGACTCATGTGACCGCTCCCCGGCTTTCACATGCTCCCTCTAGATGTGTAATTGCGCGTCAACATGGACAACGACGCAGAAGTATAAATGAAAACCAACACGTAGTCTATATAATGCTGTTGCAGTCCCCTGACTCTCTGCTAAATTAATGGTGCTAATGAATGGTCAGGAGACTCATCTGAACATTGCAACTCGTTAGTATTTATTCATTAACATTTCTAAGCATTTTAATTGTCTAATTTCATCTTGTGTTATTCACAAGAGGTTGCACCAGGTATGGTTTGTTTGGTGGTAATAGTTCTGCTCCTTCAGTACTAAGCTGTGAGCGTTCCCCAATGCAGCCGACTCCCTGAACAGAGCCATACCGCCAAATATTTATTATCAACTTTAATTGCAATCTATTCAATACAATTCCTTATCATTTTTATTTTCTAATGTGTTCTTGACTTAATGGACCTGACAGAACTGAACTTCATCTCCATCCGGAGGCTTCCTCAGTAATTGTACACACTGTAAAAACGGTAGCTATGACGTCGACATTAGACATGTTTATAATATTGCTCATTTGTTTTTACCAAATGCCAAAAGATGAGACAATAGTGTGCTGTACTAATCCTAAATCCAGGGGAAAAGCTTTTTTGCACTTCTGGTTCATATTCTCAAAGACGGTGTTATTTTTGAATGTATGGTTTTGTTGTTAAATGCCTCAAATAAGGTTTTTACATTTTACTCATAAAATACATCAGTAATACCCCACTTGTTATGTTTTTAAAGCATTTAAATGTCTTGAAAAAGCCAGCAAGTTACTAAATAGGACCACCTAGGAATTTAGGGACATTTAAATGTCACAACAGGAAAACTCATTTACTCACTCTTTTACAGCTTCATTGTGTTTGTATTTTTTTTCTCTACCACAGTCTGAACAGGTTAAGTTTCCCAAGCAGATTTTTGCCATTATCCAGATAACATTCAGACTCAAAATAAAGTGACGTACTGTATGACTTTGTGTGGGTCGTCCCAAATGGGCACCCGTCAGAGTACTCACTCCAAAAGAGTCAGAACAGCAAATTAATGCTCACTTTTGAATGGAATTTACCCTGAGACGAACTGCACAAAGCCCTGATTTAATTGGAATCGGATAGTCTCGCGGGTGCTTCAGTGGACCGGGCAGTTGTTTTGGAGCTTGTCCACCTTACATAAGATAGCCGTCAGAGATTTAACTAAGGTAATATGTAACCCTGATTGTAAAATAGATGTATGTTTTACAAATTGAGTGCAAAATATTTCTGTTGTCGGACACTTGGAGGGCTTTCAGGAATCTTCTTCCCTGCAGGATTGAAGTACCATAAAGCCACATGCTCTTGCAGAAATAGACCGTTGTGATAATTACCTTCCAGTTGTTACCAACTACGGATGTGTGTGTGTGCGAGTCCCTGTTGAAGAGGAGTGTTTTGATTAGACTCCATTCAAGTCCTGACTGCACCGCTCTGTTTTGCCTGTGATTTAAATCCATGATGGGGAATATGCTGCAATTACGCCAGTAAAAAAAAAATATATATGAAGAGTTCAGATGCAAAAGCCTCTAAATGCCATTTGAAATTTTCTTCTTTAATGATGATTTTTATCAAACTTGTATATTTAAGTTCAGTAATTTCACTTAAATAACAATTAATAGGTAATTATCATTGCCATTTAAGTGAAATCACTGAACTTAAATATACAAGCTTGATAAAAATGATTATTCTAGAAGAAAATTTCAAATGGCACTTAGAGGCTTTTGCATCTGAACTCTTCATATATATATTCTCATTCAGCAAGCTTTCCATCTTGTGGAGAAGTGGGAATGTTTAATATTAATCATTTAACCTAAGAGTAAAGGGGTCCCTCTACCATGGCCTTAAAGCTGGTGTTCATAACCGAGGCTGTTTTTTTCAGTGCCATTATTTTGATTGATTTCAATCATTTATTGCTAAAATGTGATTATGTGATAGGGCGCATTGTACCCACACTGTGCCTGCTTGCTTCTGCCGCCGCTGCTGATTATTTCTCCATTTGACTGCTGTAACCTTTAGCTCAAGTGTTGCTTACAGAGCCGGGGGTGCACCTCGCATCTGTTAACAAATGAGCCGTATTTTTGCTCTGCCGCGACAAATTATTGAAGTACCGAGCAGGCACAAACGAGCGCGTATACCGGGTGTTGACATTTTTGTTTTTGTCATTCATTTAGCTTAAATAACGAGTGAGTCGCTACTGCTGCTGTCATTCTTTACTCTAACGCTGCTGCCTCTGCAAGATCCCTCCTTCAAAACCCTCCCTAAACCATCTTGTTTGACAGATTAGTTGATCTCTCTCTCTTTTTTTACTAACATTGAAGCCTCTAAGTGGATTTGTCATTATTTATCTTCTGCCTTTGCCCCTTCAAATACTAACATGAAAACCTCCATGGAATGCGAGCCATCTGTTTGCCGTTGACAGTGTCCAAAGAAGTTGAATCTATAATAACAGATTTTTTTTTTGCTTTTTCTCATTCTTCCTGGGAAGATATATTCTAATGGAGGGCGGAGAAATTAGTGTCATTTTGTGGTATGGTTAAACTTGCTTTAAAATTGCCAGTAAATCATTTTTTAATCGTTTTAAAGCTTCTGTGGAGTTTATGGTATGTAATTTTACTCTCCCTCCCTTGTTTTTTTTTCTTTTTTTGAAGCGCGCAGGGGTTGGACTCCCTACGGTAAACAAACTGCATTATATGGTAGATATCACATTCTAATTTGTCTAGTTTGGTTTGGCCCTTTCTTTTTATCTCTTTTTGCTTTTACTGTGCAGAAACGACTAAAGAAAAGTTTAAAAATGGCATCAATCCCCAGGTGCCATGCAAAAGTTCATTTTTTTGCAATTTATGTACATTGTTGTTTTTTTTTTTATATATACCACTCACAATCCTCCTCACCCATATTCTTATTAAAATGCTTTTTGTTGTATGAGTTCTAACATTAATAACGCATCCTATTTGGCTCTCTACGGTGGGAATAAACGGTGCTGTAAGCAGCTGTAGGCGGAAGACTTCAGTCTGAGCCATTGGGTTTGTTTTCTCAGACTGACAAAAACACATTTTTATGCTTAATGTAAATGCTAAAATATTGCTCCAACACCTATCTCCTTGAAATAATACTTGCAGATCAGACATTTTAGGTAATGAACAGACAAATTTTGAAAAAAAAAACTTCCCAGTGTCAGTCAAAGTAAAAGGGCATTGGCAGCTCTTTCAAAGCATTTCATATTTTCTCAAATAAAACAATCAAAAACAAACCTTTGACTGCAGCTCTTGTGCAGCGTTTCTGTCCACCTGCTCCATTTCCCCTCATTTCCCCCCTTTGATGTTTGCTTTTATTAAATGTTGCAGCATTTCATACAGAGTTTACCGTGCACTGTATGATGTAGCATTTAATAAGTGTGTTTTGCGTAGAAACGTCTCTTAAAATGCTGTCCTCTCAAACATTGATTCATGTCTGCCAAGTTAATCAAAAATAACAGGAGAGAAGGGCAATGAAGGCTTTTATTTGAACTGTAGATGCTACTACTGAACATTTACTTGGATATATTTTATATAGCATTAAAATGGTAAAGATCGTTAGTGCTACTGTAGGTGGTATGACTTGTATACAAATGTCTATAAATTATTTTATACATTTAACAACAAAATACTGTATTTCCCCTAGTCAAGATAAAAAAATAAAATAAATCATCCAGTATGAAGATTTTTTGATTATATTGGGAGGTATTTAGTTTTGACACATTGTGTGCTTTTGGTTACCAAGCAACGTCTTGACTCCAATTAATAGAATTCAACTGATTCAATCGCACATATCCACCATTTTCCAGTGGCTTTACACTTGACAATTTTTTTTTAGTCAAGTGTTTTTCTTTTTTTATATTTATAATGTATTCTTTTGCTTATTGCTTTTAACTGAAGTGTTGAATAATGTAATGTTATCATTTATAAATATATGAATGGTGATGTGAATAATCTTCTGTATTGGTTTGCAAGTAAATATTCTGTTTATAATCTCAACTTAAAGGACAAGTTCGGTATTTTACAATTAAAGCCCCGTTTTACACAAAAATCGCTGCAAAAGATGCTTTCCAACAGGTTTTATCGTAGTTTTTGTGCAACTCCATTGACTTGTATTTTATGTTCTGTGATGTACGGTATTACTCCGCCGCCGGAAACGGAAATGGGGTTGATTGTATTCTCGCGGTAACATAGACTACACTATACAAGTGGTTTGCTTGCAATTGGCAAAGGTGCATTAGCACCACCAACTGGGCTGGAGTGTCTATTATTCAAGCTCTCAATGGAAGAATGTACGGTTGTGAGGCGTTCGGAAAAAAAAAAAGGTCTACAGTTTTACAACGAAGGGTAAAACACCTGTTGGAAAGCATCTTTTGCAGCGTTTTTTGTGTGAGCACATCAGTGAACACCCCAGACCACTCGGGAAGTTTTAATCGTTTTATGAAGGATTGTTCCTGTGCGCCACCATTGTAGAGGTGTGGGGGTGTAACCACAGAATCTGAAAATTCTCGGGACAGCAGCATCTGTCTAAAAAACAATCTTAACCATTCTATTTCATCAGAAACGATCTTAAAACAGGGCATTAATTGTAAAATACCAAACTTGTCCTTTAACAAATATTAAATATGATTTTGACTATTGAAAAATAAACATTACATAGACGTTGAGTGAGATAAATCACTTTTATTTTGCAAATCAATTATGTTTAGATGTTCACATTGTGTCGATGCTAATGCAACATGCCATTGACAGACCTTTCTAATATGCAGCTGCCTCACACTTAATGACCTCGGGCAGCCGAATGTAGGTGTTCTGCTTAAGCACAAACACTCACTGTTTATATGAATTGAAAGTGGAAAATGACAAAAGTGGATAAAAATGATTGCGGCTGCCATATAGCTTTTATGAACCCCTCTTTCTAGGGATCGGAGAAAAGACTGACCTCCCCTTACCCTTCTCTTCTTGTGGAAAAATAGTACATCTTTTTCCTCATGCACTTTGTCGTTGTGATTTTTGTCTTTAAGTAGCCGATGACGTGGCGCTTTTTATCGCATGTGCGACATGTTTTTATATAATACACAGCTTGTATGCCATTATGCACCTGCATAATTTGCTTCTACTGCATGTGTGGGTAACTATTTTCTGTTGTTGTGTGGTGGTGCTGTACATTGATATATTTTATTTATTTTTATTTTTTTTTGGTGGGGCTCCATGTTTGGCTTTCTTTTTTCTTATCTCTTCTTAAGGTTCAGACAAAATACTAGGTTTCAATTTCAGGACAATGCAAACCATCTATAATTTCCATCAAACAAGCTGCATTCTTTCCAGCTTTGCCCACTTGTCCACAGTAATACTAATGTTCACAGAATATTTGACGACATTGGAGATGAAATCTGAAATCCTCTCCGTCTGTCGGCATGGAAACGCCTCAACCCTGAGCATTTATTAAGACTGTAAGAAAACCACCTGTTTTGGATGTCTGCCAGTGTTTCCACGCTTTAGTATTAACATTTACAAATGTTGTAAATATAATTCTGCTCTAGAGAGATCATAAACGACTCTTTAGTCTAGGCATATCAAGTCCTGGAATTGTAGCCTACGACGTCTTAACCATCATGCATGGCTTGTGTATTAACAATCTTAAAGCTATCGCTACCCAAACACCTTCAGAGTATTTCTTTTTAAGACATCTCTTAGACAATGTGTGCAGTTAATCTAGTAGTTGATCAGAACTGACCACAAACATGAATAAATGCAACCTCTGTTATACTAACAACCATTTTTGTGTCTGAATCCCCCTTTTTATACTAATCTGCACAGTCACCCTTAACATCACTTGCTAACCCACTCAACATATAGTGATTCCTCTTAGTTCCTGACGCCATACACCTTCCCTTCCTGTCTCTCCTCTCCAACACTGACTAGTGCACAGTCCAGCACACATGACAGCATTCTCTCATTCAGAAAGCAGCAATAGCAGACATAAAAATGGCTTGATCCCTTTGCAAACGTATTGCTTAGAGAACCAGAGGAACCCCCACGTGAAACAGGCCAGTTTTTTTAGTAGAGGTACTTGTTGAGGCCAACAAGGATTGCGGGTGTTTCTTAATCAAAAGATTTCCCACGTTCCCTCTCTTTTCTATCCTTCCGTGGCTTTTATGCAAACAGGTGACGATATCGGTGGACGGGCTGCTGACGACCACTGGCTACACCCAAGAGGACTACACCATGCTGGGTTCTGATGATTTCTTCTACGTGGGCGGCAGTCCAAACACCGCGGATCTTCCCGGCTCCCCCGTGAGCAATAACTTCATGGGCTGCCTTAAAGATGTACGTAAACATTTTGTTCTTTACGTTGAATTTGGGTCGGGACCTTCTCAAGGAGGACCTGGGTAATGTTCTCTTTGTTTGGCGAACGTTCTGTCCTCTTTTACCTCTTCCTTATCTGTCCCTTTCCTTTCTCCTCTCTCTTTCGTGTCCATTCGCACCCCTTCGAGCATGTCCCATAATTTATGTCGTGTCTATACCGTTGAAGTTCCAGCTTTACTATCCTGACAGCCAAATTAAAAATTGATTTCCTCTATGGATCCCCTTTCGACTGTCCCAGACTCTCCATCTCTGTCTCGTTGACCCCGGACTCTATTAATCACCACTCTCTACCTGCTCAACCGTACAGTTAGTATCAGTGTCCCTCTTCAGCAGGAACTTGAGCACTCCCTTATCGTGCCTCTGATAGAGACACTTAAACATCTACAACGTTGTTACGCTTTTGGGAGTCTTGTTTTTGTCTCATCGCTCTTTCGTTTTCATTTGCTCTTTTGTTGTGCAGGTACTTTATGTCCATGTTTTCCCCCATGTTGACTGCATCTACCTGTGTAGCTTTTAATTAGGCTAGTTTGTCAGGGTAAATATATACCCTCTCAAGTCATTTGTCAAGTCCTTGTTAGGCTGTAATGTTTGGTGAGCCTTGTTTTTCTTTTTCTTGCCTTTGAAAATAAATGTATATTTTGATGGTATAATATATGGAACCATATATTTTGATGTTTTTTTTTTTTTAAATCCAAATTGACATCCATTGAATTCAAGGAATATGTTTTTGCTGTTCATGCATTCCCTGGCAAGTGAACCTTTGACATTGAGGCTGCACTACTGTTTGAGCTACAGGGATACTGGATAATCCATTTGAGATGAACAGTTGGACTACAGCATGGTGGAAAGACAAATCAGTTTTCTTTTTTGGTTTTAATTTTCTATATTTGCAGTTTTTGTGTTTATTGAATGTTTATCATAAAAAAAATTCAACAAAATGGAGATTTAAATTCCTGATTGGTTAACGCGGCTCGAATTGACGCCAAAGTTCAGATTGTTCAACTCGGGCGGCAGATGTGAATTCGCGTCAAACGCGCGAATGCACGAAAATCACTTAACAATCTTGATGCGCGAATGAGGCGTATTCGCGTCTACCGTGACGTGCTCTACGCCTCATTTGCGCCGTAGGAATTTTTACGTGCGTAACACATCTTTGCATTGACTTAACATTGAAATCACTCGCGCCAGACGCTTTATTCGCGTCTGGTGTGAACGCACCATTAAAGATCTAATAGTGAAGCCGGAAGGTTAAGACATAATAGTGAAACATGAAGATTCGTACGATTAGGCTGTGCAGTTGGAGATGGTTTGAAACGTTCTCATTGATGGATACCTCAGATATATATTAGGGATGTCCCGATCCGATCCACGGCATCGGTATCGCGCCGATACCGGCCCAGAACGCTAGATCGGAGATCGGAGGGGAGAAAAAAATATGAGCGATATCCAGTTTAGCGGCGCAGCCTGTCACGTGATGATTGTTGTGTTTAAGCACACGCGCGCAGAGAATCACTCTCGCTTTTGCGCATGGATTCTAATGTAATCGGATGATTCCACAAAAGCTGCATTTCAGTCTTTTCAGAAATTCATTGGCTATCAGAAAATAGCGTCATTTCATTCTCTATTGCAACTGGATAGATAAACTGTCACTCAAAGAGAGAGCGAAACTGGCGCGCGTAAGGCCGTTTACATAGTCAACGCGAGCTACGCGAGCAAGCAACGCGAGTGACGCGAGCGACGCGCTCCCTTTCATAGTGTAAAAGCAGACGCAAGCGTCACGGGCGATGCGTAAAATGCAGTACACCGGTCACGCAACAGGGGGTAGTAGATTTTTCACTGCAAACCTGAAAAAGCGGTGAAGCTCGTGAAGGCGTGCGTGGCTCTCCACAACTTTCTGGCATCCACTGAACGTACCAGATACATGCCCGCCGCCTTTGTGGATGCGAAGTCTGACACCGGAGAGGTCCAGCCTGGAGAGTGGAGGCAGCACGTTGTGGGGGACCAGAACATGGTCGACGGACCACGGTTTTCGGACGGCAGCAGCAGACCCTCCCGGAGAGCGGCACTTGTAAAGGGAGCAGCTGGCTGATTACTTTTAATCAGATGCTGGCGTGTTTCCCCACCAGTACAGTGTGCTACGATTGGGTGGCACTGACAAATAAATTGATAAAAGTTTGATTTGAAGCATGAGTTTTTTATTATTATTTAACACTTTACACATTTTAACTTATTTGGTATTATGTGAAAACCATTACACATTTTTTATAATTTGGTATTATTTAACTTTGTAAAAACCATTACACATTTTAACTAATTTGGTATTTTAATTCATTAATTCATATCCATAAACCATTAATTCATATAACCAGGCTGGTAAATTTGTCACGGGCACTTTTCCAGTCCATTTTCACCCGTCTTTCCCATCGCGATTGCAACCTCTCTCCAGGCATTTTCCAACGCAATTTTATTTGAGTGTACTAATTGTGATGAACTGTCGTATAAATGCGGATGAACGCGTATAAGCTTGTATAATTTTTCTTCCTCGCCCGCCATTGTATTCAAACCTTCTTCTTCTGTTAACATGATATATTTGAATTAATGTACAATTCTTGCAATGTCGCCCCCACCGATACGCATAGTATTGCGCGCATCAGTGCGTCGCGTATCAAAAACTAGGACGACACATTTGGCTACGCATCGACGCATAATGGCGGCCAAAGCGTAGCGATACATAGCCTTGCGGACGCGTATGCGTACCGATGCGTTGACTATGTAACGGCCTTAAAGTTTGAAGCGAAATTTACGCACGTGACGCGCGTCAGAATCAAAATCCGTTGGCGGTCATTGTTTTTATGTCGACCGAGCATTCATCAAGAGAGTTACCGCTCTGTATTTACTCTGGACAGCAGAACAGCGGCGTGGGGATCATCGTCGCCGTATATTTGTGTCCACCGGACCCTTCGGAGCCGAACCGTTTGGCGAGTTTCACCATTCGCTCGCTCCAGGAGCTGCGCTGGATGACGGCCGCTGTCAGCGGTACTTCCGCCTGTCACGCGCCCAGTTTGATGACCTGTTGTCCCGCATCTGAGCGAGGATCACCCTCGCCCGGCCCCTCATCCATCTAATCTAGCTGTCATTTATTTTTGTTTTGATAATTAATAGAGCCAGCCTTCAAAAGTTATTAACCTGTCCTGTGATTTTTTTCTCTCTCTCACGTCCAGACACGAATGTATGCACATATGTTGATATATATATATATAGCGCGCTATGTATGTTATGCGCGCATATGTCTCGCTCTAGATTCCGGGAGATTTGAACTAATTTGCGGGCATCAGGGAGACGCTATCAATATGCGGGAGACTCCCGGAACTTGGGATGTCTGTCTTTACAACATAATACTATTTCTAGATATGGAATGAATAACATTCAATACAAAATGAACATGTCTCCATATAGAAATAATGTTTTAAGTGATGAAACATTTGCTTTGTTGTGCATAATCCCACCATGCATTTAGTCATATTAACAAAATAATTTATTGAAGCATCCAGACACTTCACCACGTGAGCAAGCAGCTAGGCTCCTGATTGGTTAACGCGGCGCGAATTCACGCCAAAGTTCAGATTTTTCAACTCGGGCGGCAGACGCGAATTCGCGTCAAACGCGTGAATGCACAACGCTCAATTCGCGCCATTCGCGCCAACTTGACGCGCGAATGAGGCGTATTCGCGTCTTCCGCGCCGCGCTCCACGCCTCATTCGCGCCGCAGGAATTTTTCTTGCATTGACTTAACATTGAAATCATTCGCGCCTGACGCCCTATTCGCGTCCAGTGTGAACGTAGCATTAGTGCGTCGAAGTTGTGATAGCGCTGTCGGCTAACGCGAAATGCTACTATTTACATTCCATGGATGTTTATTCATACAATTGTTTTGGACTAAAAACTTCTTCAAATTGGATTGTATGGACACTTTACAGTGAAACCAAACCATTTTTGTTGGAATGTGGACTAACAGATGGCTAATTGGTAAGTTTCTTCCAGTTTGTGTTGGTTTGTTTTGGCTGTTGGTGGTCTGACAAAGAGACAGATTGTGCCCGCTGTGTTGATTGTATCTTAAAATGGTTTACGTCGTTCGAATCACGAGTTTCTCAGCTTTCCAAAGATATGTATTATGTTTACTTTTGTGTTTGTTTTGTTTTGTCTTTCACAAAGTTAAACCTATAAACCACCCTGTGGGCCGTATACGGCACGTCGGACCACGAAAAAAAAAATATCGGACTAATATCGGTATCGGCAAAAGCCAAAGGTGCGGCATCGGTATCGGTATCGGAAGTGAAAAAGTGGTATCGGGACATCCCTAATATATATATATATATTTATTTTTTTGTCTATGGTCTCTGCCAATAATTGCTTTTTTCATGTTCCCGTGCTCAGTTGGCACCTCTTGTTTTGCTCCTACCTCTCCTTTTATTTTTCTGTCATGGGCTTTTGTGTTATTTTCAGAAACACTCAAGTTCACACCCAGCAACAAAGCATCAGTCATCATCTTCGGACAGAGAGAGAGAAAGAGAGTGGCTGGTGTAAAAAAGAAAAGCATGTTTGCTGTGCTGGGCTGATTCGCCCATCTGGCTGTAGAGACAGCACATGTGACGGAGATAAAAAAAAAAATATATATATAAAAAAAAATCCACCCCAGGGGACACATTCGCAATGCATGTGTTTGTAGGATTGGTATTTTCGGACCGGTTTTGCTTTGTGTTGTACCGTGGCATGTGTGGGCTAGACATCATCCTCGATCAAGATTTCTCAGTTGACATATGCACTGCTTATGCGTGCGATTGAGAAAAACACTTGAGCTAATGTTAGCGTAGGATGATTCGTCATATTAATGAAAAATAATATCGATTAGCCGAGGGTTTTCTGGAGCGCTCTGGATGGGGTCGCTAGGTTTATGTGATCCACTCATGCTTTGAGTATTTAAAGAGACTGCTGTGTTTACTGACTTGAAAACCGTGCCCCAGAGGTACGTACATCATCTGCAGTTTGTTTGTACCAGTGGGCAGCGTGCTACTCCATTCCACCCTTTAGCATTCAAGCACTTTCTTTTTTTTTTCTTTCTCCCCCTCTCTCCCCATCCCAGGTGGTTTACACCAATAATGAGTTCAGACTGGAGCTCTCCCGCCTGGCCGAATTGCGTGACCCCAAGGTCAACCTCCACGGCGACCTGACCTTCCGCTGCGAGGATGTCGCCGCATTAGACCCTGTCAGTTTCGACGTGCCGACCGCTTACGTAACCCTTCCGCGGTGGAACACCAAGAAAACCGGCTCCGTGTCCTTTGACTTCCGAAGCACCGAGCCCAACGGCCTCTTGCTGTTCAGCCACGGGCAGCCGCAAGGTTCCAAAGATCGCATACCGAAGGTGGACTTCTTCGCCATGGAGCTGCTAGACGGATTCCTCTACCTGCTCATGGACATGGGCTCCGGGAGCATCAAGATGAAAGTCGGGAACAAAAAGGTCAATGACGGAGAATGGTGCCACGTGGATTTCCAGAGAGAGGGCAGGAAAGGTTGGGATACTGCAAGATCAGCACACACATTATTCTCCTGTTTAAAACGGTCTTGTTGTTTGACTGAAGCACTTTTTCATTCCGCCGGCATAGAGTCCCACTGATATGCATACTGCTAAATCACTGTACTTCATTTCTTCTACCTCTCATTACCTCTCATTACTGTAAGAGCTCAACTCTTCACAGTTTTAAAGTAGCAGGGTCGGCATGGGATTTTTTTTTTGCAAATCCCGGGGGAAGAGGTTGAAGACCTTTCCGCTAGCTGAGCTCAGGGAAAAAAAAAAAGGAATAACCGTGGACTGCTAATGCTAAATTAATGAAACTTCACTTTAAAAAAAGAAAAAATAAACCTTTTGTGGCAGCTATTGTACTGCAGCTACACTGATTTCACGAGTTACCATAATGAAAGTCTTCAGGGATCAGTAGTAGCGGCATTAATTCAATTAGTTCTAGTTAATTATTAACTAGGGTTGTCAATTTAACAGTGTATTAACTGTTACTACAAGCAAGAGTGTAAATTTCCGTCCGTCTATCCGTCTATAGCTCTATCGTTCTTTTTGTGTTTCTATACATTTATTATATATCCTGTCTATTGTTTCACCTTCTCTGTCACTTTATCTGCCATTCTATTGATCGGTCTATCTATTTATTGCTCTATTTACAGTATATGTTATTTTGTCTTGTTCTTTCTCTAATGTTCAGTCTGTCACTCTGCATGCCGTTCATTCAGTTTTCCGCTTCCGTCGGTCATTCTGTCAATTGTTCATTCTCTTCTATTATCGTTTTATCGTTCTCCCTGTCCATAAAACAATCAAACATTTTTCAGAACGTTTAAACAAGGCTTTATCAAGCCGACATTCAAAGTTCGTCTTGACAAAATTAAAATTTGTTTTTAAATTTCATTTTGTTTCCACTAACATCCCAATTCAAAAATGTTTGCGTCCTCAAAGGCACTGTAAATGCAATTCTGAATTATGCACAACCTTGCAGGCAACATTCAGCAAATGATTTTGTGACAAATTTAAAAAAAAAAAAAAAAAATGTCACCAATTTAAAAAAAAAAAAAAAAAAAAAAAAAAAACTAAACATTGATGTGTATAGGTTCACAAGCAGATGAGCGCTGATCCTCTAAATCTTCATTTCCCGTCTCCTAGGCTCCATCTCCGTTAACGGCCGTAGCATGCCCTTCTCCACCAACGAGGGCAGTGAGATCCTCGATCTCGATGGTGAAATGTATCTGGGGGGTCTGCCAGAGGACAGCGGCGCTCTTCCTCTGCCGCCAGAGGTGTGGACCGCCCGCCTCAGGCTGGGCTTTGTGGGTTGCGTGCGGGACCTCTTCGTAGACGGCCGCAGCAAAGACCTGCGGCGTTTGGCGGAGCTTCAGAGCGTTGCGGGTGTCAGCAGCTTCTGTACGAGGGAGACGCATCGGAGGTGCAGCTCGGAGCCCTGTGCCCACGGAGGCCGCTGCCACGAGGGCTGGAACCGGCATGTCTGCGACTGCACTGGAACTGGATATCTGGGTGCCAACTGTGAGATGGGTGAGAAAAGTAGGGCTTAAAGCAGTAGGGAGGGAGGATTAAACATGGGATTACTTCTTACCGATGAGAGCATTCTCATAAAGAAGTGCAAGGCTTCAGCGCTTCCCTCATATACTTTTATATTGAGATAGAGCTGCACTTCAGCTCTATTCATCAGATCCCACCTGCCTAGACCTTTGTTTGCTGTTACGGTGTCATTTCTAAGTCTCTCCTGCCCTCTGCTGTCTGGTACTAAGAATTACAATGTGACCACCCAATGTCCACCACGGATATGTTACTTGTGACTCCACAACGGTGCACACGCACTTGAAATAATCTTTTAGTAGTTATGAGTAGAAAATAACATTGTTATACTAATATAAGGAAGTTATTAGCATGTAGCATTGTTAGCTAGTGACGACCCAAATGGCCAAGTGAATTAACAAAGTGATATTATTATGGCTTGATTTTGCTACTTGTGTGACTCTATGGCCTGGTTTCACAGACAGGGCTTAGAGTAACCAAGGGTTTGGCCTTAGTTCAATTAGGACATTTAAGTAGATTTTATGAACATGCATTAGAAAAAAACTACATCTGGTGTGAGACGAAATAATGGCAGTGATGTATTTTATGTCAGTGGAAGTTGCTTTCAGTTAAAACAGCTCTTTTAGTCTGGGACTAAGCATAAGACTTGTCTATGAATATTGTGGGTATTAAATGCATAATAATGATACAAATACTACTACTACTAATAATAAATGAAATATTTTTTTTATTTCATTTGCATTTAATTGAAGTTTAATTAAAAAAAATACTAATTTTGATTATAATTTATCTACAATATGACCCAAAAAAATGTTAAATAATTATTTTTTATGGAATGGGCTGTAACAAATCCCCTTTTGTCACGATTTAATATTGAACTCTTAAAACAATATTATTGCGACACTCCAAAATATATGGTAAAAGGTTAACAAATTTTGTACTGTTGATTCAGTGCTAAATTTGATATTATATTTATGGGTGTAAATAACTTGGTGCTGAGAACCCAATGCACAGGAAAATAGTGAAACAAGAATAAAAATATTCATGATTCTGAAGCTGAAAATACAAATTATTTTAAACAAATATGCTTGCTCTGTCACTGACTAGATATGTTAGAAGTAAAAGGTGGCCAACGTTATTTTAAATACAGTATAAGACAATTGACATTATCAGGGCACACGCATACAGTATTCCCCCATTGCATTATTATACAATAAATACAATATTATATAGTAGTTTAATATAGTTTAACTAATTTAGTTTAGTTTAATTTGATGTATTCACACCTGCCTTGTTTGGTTCGATTGAACCAAATTCAAGTTCGTTTCCCCCATTGGTGTGGATCTTTTGGGCAGATGTGAATAAAGCAATCGCATTCGGGTGCACAGTAGTGCTGTCAATCGATATATATATATATATATATATATATATATATTTTACTACGTTCATTTAAGACTTTATTTGCACTTATGAGGATACTTAACAATACTGACATTTATGTGTGTGTGTGGTGGTGGAGGGGTTAAACTGGACAAACTTAATCGCATGCAACGTTGACAGCACTTGTTAGCAGTAATAATTACATGATTTAGATGTATGAACATAGCCCCTCTCTAAGAAATCATTAAAAGAAGAAATATTGCATTACGAAATATCTCCATGCCTGCTTTTGCAATTCCTGCTTCTCCCTGCTTGAGAATTCCTGTCCAATAAATGGACGACTTTAGCACGTGTAGTTTTGTTTACAAATTTTGGTTCACTTGCAAAAAATAAATAAATAAAGATCAACATTGTATTTGGTCTGGACCAAAGCAAGTGAACTATCAGACTTTCCTAGTAAATAAATACACAAAACTCTGAAAACTTAAAACATTTCTCACAGTAATTTTTAGTTATCCACGATACATCGTCACTATACTGTACATATAAATTGTTGAATTTTTGTATTGCGATATATTGTGACACGAGATATTGTTACACCTCTATTATGGAGTTACATTTGTAGTTTTAATAATGATAATAATAAAATGGTAACTTAATATAATTAATGTTAAAACCCTGTTTTAAAAAATAAATATATATATATATAAAATACATTAAAAAAATGAAATATGTGGTTATATGTAAGTTAACAAATGTGAACTATAGTCCCAACTGGGTCAGCAGAGAAGACACCTGTGTTTTCTGATTGACTCTCTATTTTCCTGATCTCTCAGAGTCCGCAGTGCTGAGTTATGACGGCAGCATGTTTCTGAAGATCCTGATGCCTCACGCCGTTCACACTGAGGCTGAGGACGTGTCTCTGCGCTTCATGTCGCAGAGAGCTTACGGTCTGCTCATGGCCACCACCTCCAAAGAGTCCGCCGACACCCTGCGCCTGGAGCTGGACGGGGGAAGGGTCAGACTCACCGTCAACCTAGGTAACCTTTCACCCATGACCTCTGAATGCAAGGAACTCCCAGACTGCATTTCACACTCATTCCTCCATCTTTATCTCTTTCTTTACTCTCTCTCTCTCTCTCTCTCATATTCTACCTCGCTCATTCTCTCTCTCGTTCTCTCTCTCTCATCCTATCTCGCCTTTGCAGCCTTCAATGGCTATTTTTTCTGCAGCTTTCAGACCAGACAGCCAGAGAGACCAACCCATGTAGGTTTTTCTTTAGAAGACACATTAAGACATAATAGGGCAGACAGTGGGGAAATTACATAATTTTCAATTTTCCTACATTTTTCTAACTGCCATCTTTGGGTACAAGAAGCATATGATCATAATATTGAAATATATATAAAAAATACAATTAACTTTAATATTGCTTTAATGCTTATTATCATTATTTAATTTCTTGCACCTTTATATGATAATAATAATATTAGTTGTCAGGAATACTATGCATTTAAATAAATTACATTAATAATTAAAAAAAGGTTTTATATATATATATATATATATATATACTGTATATAAAACCTTTTTATCACTATATATATATATATATATATATATAGTGATAACATGATTAGACGACAATTCTCTAGTCGATAGTCTTGAACTACATACTTACGTTAAATATGTTAAATTCCATTACATATGCTAAAGATTCAGACTTTTAATTCAGTAATTCTGCCTTGTAGTTTTAATACAGTCATTATGAAATATTGCATATTGGCTATCATCTGAAAACTTTATATATATATATATATATATATATATATTAAACTTTTAATATATATATATATATATATATATATATTAAATTTGTATATTAAACTATTTATATATATATAGCAGTATGTCACATTTCAAAGGCTGTCAAACTTTAGATGGGTAGAAAAACATGATGAAATTCTTGTACTTTTAATATCAAAATATGAAAAGAAATACAATCACACTTCCCTTTTTCAAGCAGAAAGAGAACTTTACTGATCATATGTTTCAATAAGTCTTAGCAGTCTAGCTTTGTTTGTGATGGAAGAAGAAATGTAATTGCCCCCTGATCTCTCCCACCATAAGAACCATATTGTAATTCTTCTAAAGTCTCTCACTGTCCCCTCAGCTCAGGCTCAGACTGGAACTGTCTGTAATCTGCTGTACAAACAGACAGTCCACAGGAGAGTCGAGTCTGAGCTAGTCTTTCTGTCTTAAAGCAGTGTGGCAGTGAGACGGGTCCCTGGCTGTCTGTGGTCACTCTTCTGTAGCGGTTGACAGCTTGAGAGTTCGCCACAGCCAAGAGTGCTCGCACTATTCTATAGGATCATTTATCCTCTGTTATTATTATCCTTCTAGTCATATAATCAGCCGACTCAATGTTTGCAATTTTTTTTTTTCCTTTAATGGTAAAAGATTCTTTGTTAATACTTTTTTTAACAATACCACTTAATATAACAAACTTCAAATTATATTATCAGGGATTGTTCTATAAAACAAATCTTAAAGAGATCAAGTCTGGGTGAGCTCACAATGAATTTCACAAAAATGGTATATTAATATTGCGATGATTTTAATGTTCTTTTTCTTGATCCTTAAGCATTCTTATGAATCTGCCATTCAAATAATCTTGCTTTCTTTCTTGGTTCTTTACTTAATTTAAACTTCAGATGCAAGAATGGCTTTAGATTTGCTAAATTATATATATGTTCATCAAATTCATTATCAGATCTAGCTATTTCTTTCAGTTGTCATTCAGAAATGTATCAAGATATTTGATTTGAAAAGTATATGTAGGTAATACATTCTTTTTCTTTTCTTTTTTTTGGAAGAAATTAGTACTTTTGTTTATCTGAGATGCATTTCAGTGATCAAATGTGATAGTAAAGACATTTATAATGCCACAAAAGATTTCTATTTCAGATTAATGTTGTTTCTTTTTATCAAAGTATCCTAAAAAATGTACGACATTTTTCACTAAAATATTAATCAGCTCAACTGTATTCAATACTGCCAAATCAACATATTAGGAGCATTTCTAAATGATCATGTGACACTAAAGACCGGAAATTCACATGAATAAATAACATTTTAAAATATAAAATGAAATATAATTATATATATATATATATATATATATGAAGAGTTCAGATGCAAAAGCCTCTAAATGCCATTTGAAATTTTCTTCTTTAATGATGATTTTTATCAAACTTGTATATTTAAGTTCAGTGATTTCACTTAAATGGCAATGATAATGACCTATTAATTGTTATTTAAGTGAAATTACTGAACTTAAATATACACGTTTGATAAAAATCATCATCAAAGAAGAAAATTTCAAATGGCATTTAGAGGCTTTTGCATCTGAACTCTTCATATAGATATATATATATATAAAAATATAAAATATAATTTAAAATTCAATACGAAACCAAAATTTAAATTCTATTAATATTTCACATTATTACTTTTTTACTCTATTTTTGATAAAAATAAATAAATAAAACCTTCTTGGTGGGCTTAACATTAAAAAAACAAACAAAAAAAAAAACGTAACAACCCCAAACTTTTGAACAGTAGTGTAACGTGCATGAAATGCATGAAAATTTAATTTTTGTAATTTTTGTTAATATAATTTATTGAATCCTTTTAAGTGGATTGTTAGCAAGCTTTTATCATATATACAATATTCAGCCATTTCCTGAAAAAAAAACAGCCTTTTCAGAGCAAGCATATTGAGATGGAGTATATCAAAAGGTTTTTTTAAACCGAGCATGAGCTCTTGGCTGATGGTGCAGACTGCCCTTGCCTACAGTCATACTGGCACCACCCACATACAGGAAGGAGGCAAAGCACAGGCTAAATACAGTACAATGCTGTGTGTGTTTGTGTATTCAGCAAACTGTAGATAAATTGCTGGGATATTCTCAGATGTGCTGTCTCTCGTCCTGTTTGTGGGGTGTGGGCCCTTGTAGAGAGGGCCATTCTGACTCTCACCTTGTCCCCGGATGGTTGACTCTGTGCAAAAATTGTTTATTTGTCTGCAGATTGAACCTTGAAGGATGTGGTTTTGAATTTTAGTTCCTTTTCCTTTAAATCTCACCATCTCACTCTCTTTCCCACCAGATTGTATCGGGATAGACTGTAACCTTAGTAAGTGATTCTTTTATCTGCAATGCTATTTTTGTCTCTTACTCTCTCTCTCTCTCTCTCTCATGCTCATCCAAAGTTTCCTCTCCTCCCTCGTAATCCTGTCGTCCTGCACCGTTCACACACAGAATTTCTTTTGAATCTGTTCCTAGTTGGCATCCCTCTCTCTTTCTCTCTCACTCTTTCCCCCAACACCCCCCTCTCTCTTGCGTTCCCTCAATCTCAATCTCTTTTGTTACGCAAAAATATGCCGATTTGCTGCGGTGTTTGAAATTAAGCATAACCATCTCAACAGTTTCCATTTCAACACCATATGTTTCTCACTGCGCCAGTCTGTTTCATGTCCCTGTGGGACTCTTTTACATAAGAAAAATACGATAATAAACCATATAATAAAAGAAGAAATCTTCATTTGCCAAATCAGGCGTGAGGTTGAACATTGCCTGTATTTGAGCAGTGTTACATCCATGTGTTGGGAAACGGTGCAATCCTCAGTATTTAGCAGTGCAGTGATTCTGAAGGTAAGTAGTTGTGTGAATGTTATGGTCAGTATGAGACCAAAGCACTGTGTGTATGTGTGTGTATGTGTATTTAGCTAGATTGGAAACAATTTCTGCAGAAGTTAGCTAAATCTGACAAAAAACTTTTAGGGATGTCCTTGTTCGGAAAAGAATTTAAAGGAGATTTAAAGGAGTTCACTTAAAAAAAATTTTTAAAAAAACTTTTGCTGATAATTTACTCACCCCCATGTCATCCAAGATGTCCATGTCATTCTTTGTTCAGTCGAAAAGAAATTAAGGTTTTTGATGAAAACATTCCAGCATTTTTCGCCATATAATGGCCTTTAATGGGAACCAAATGGTTCAAGCTACAAAAGACAGTTTCAGTGCAAACTGCAAACTGTTTAAAGGGCTTTAAACGATTCCAGGCGATGAATAAGGGTCAAGCGAAACGATCGCTCATTTAATAAATAACAAAGTTTAAGTTTTATAAGCTCAAATGGTCGCCTTGCTCTGTTCTGCGATGCACGTTCGTGACTCTCCTATTCGAACTTCTTTTCCTGAGTCAACTCGTTCGTTTTGTTCGTTGAATGAACCAAATGACACGAAAAAAGATTTGTTCATTTTGACAATAAAAAGTTCGTTTCGCTTGTTTGCGAAACGAACTCGATTGTTTCGCTTGAGAAGTTCCTTATTTCCATTATTTCCAAATTGTTTCCAAATTGAATCGAAATGTAAATATTTTGTAACATTTATACATATATTTACTGTCACTTTTGAGTGCATCCTTGCTGAATGAACAAAATAGTTTTTTAAAACCAAATTTTAAATGATTGTGTATATATTTGGTAAATAGCTAGGTAATAAGTAGGATAATATAGTAGTATACTGTAATGTCAGCGAATTGTGGGACATTTATTCTTTACTTGGCAAACAGTATAAGCAGTAGGTCCTCATATTGGATGTTTTGTTTTCGGTTTCATCAGTCAAAAAATAAAATAAAAAATAAGCGGCTACAGCATGTGACGTCATCCTTTTTTCCCCCTTTGTTTGAGGATTAAAGCTTTTTTTGCCATTTGCTAACGAAATTCTAGACTACAAAATGTATGCCACGTACAGTGTTTACATGTAAATTAGGCCTGTAATTGTGAGATTTGTCTCTTTAGTACTTCATTAGTCATGAGGAAGTAGGTGTTTAGGCTTCAGGACACAGTTTCCGAAAAAAAGCATTAAATCTTTTGCGTAGTGAAAATTTTGACATGTTCACCATTCAAATGCGTCATCAAACATCGTTCATTCATCTGTGATAATGAGTCAACAAATTTGGATTTGTGGAATGCTTTTCATCATAAATGTTAATAATTCCAATGAAAAACAGATCTATCAGAGCATGATGTGCTCATTTAAATAAACCGCAGAGCCATTACGCACGACATTTAAGCAACAAGTAGGCCCACACAGAATCTGCACCCACTGTTCATAAAGACATATTTGGATACTTACACAACATTCATCAGAATGTAACAGATTTCCCCAAGTTAAGCTCATTTGACAACACTTGTGGCATGATGATGACTTCCTCAAAATATTTTCAGCTTGTCGCTCCTTTCCTTTGAAAAAGAAAAAATCAGAGTTATTCGCTCTGGATCGTTTATTGTAGACGTGAATGGAGAACATTTTTAAACATTACAATACTCACTGTTTTGATAGTAACAAAACAGCATTCATAAAGTAACGAGAATGTTACTGCACAAATAAATGCTTTAATGATAGTATGTTTCTTATATATTATAGTATTCTTTTATATATATATTCTTATATACTATAATATTATAAGATTCATGTTTCTGCTTATAAATCTTCCTAACAATGGCCTTTTTTATTTTAAGTGCCTCAACCGAACCTCATAATGAAAATAAAGCTCAAATAACAAATCTAAATGATATACTATATGTATTGTAATATTTAGCTGTTACTGTATACTAGCACTGCTACTGACCGTCCAGGACTGGAACTTCTCTGTTCTAATTAATAGAATATAATGAATTCATTCTCAGTTTCCACCACCAGGTGGCAACAAACACCATCTATTACAGTCTCAAATTTAGTCTCAAGCAAGTGCTTTTTGAAGGACTGAATCTACAAATCATCCTTTTTAAGGGAAGGTAACCTCCTTATCAAAATTTTTACAAACTACAGTAAACGTATTGGATGACGCGTATCAAGTTTTATTGCACATCCGCCATTTAGGAGCCGATTTATCGCGCATGATGCTCACGGGATGATGAATCTCTGCTTGGTCGTATGTGGATAAGTGCATTCATAATCAGGCGAGCACGATCATTTGATATGTTAACCTGTGAAAGTGTTTCACAGTCCCCTCTACACTCTCAATATTAACTTGATGGGTATGTCAAACATATTTAGACTGATGGAAGTTTTAATGACAGTAAAATGTTAATTGACTTTTAAATAGACAGAAATGCTGGTAGTTAAAGTAAATTATACCCAATTAGGGCCCTCTGCCATCTGTTAGAAGTCTCTCTTTTTTTTCTCCTCACCATGATGTGCATTTTAAACAGTCTAGCACGTCATGAATACGAAGCAGATTCAGATGACGTTCCCATGCAAAAATCTCACATTAATGTTAATGTTACGTTAACATTAGGTTTTAATGGATAAGTTATGTTGTTCGACGTCATGAGATCCAACATGTCTTGATATCTAGCACCGTTCTAACTCGTATATGCTCACAATCACAGATTGTATTTGTGCTCGAATCCTTAATGCGGTCGCAGTTTTAACACAAGGCCGAATCGACGTGTTCGCTCTTAGATTTAAAAGCAGGGATGGGTAACGATTTAAATTTAATTAACAAGCTGCCAGAAGGTGTAGAAAGACAACTCCCCCTCGCTCTGCCTCCTGCTTGTTTATTCTGGGGGGTTTTCAGAGCTAATTAGAGGGATGATATCAGATCGACACATTCCGATGCAAAGAGTGTGACACGTAGCTGGTCATTAGGAGTTTTACTCGCAGGTATGGACAGTACTGCATCTATAGTGTGACTTTGAGCTCCAAACAGATTGCCTGCCAGATTAAAACCAGATGTTTTGCTTAAACGAAGTCATCCGTGGAAGATTTATCAGATTCCGAGTGCTACAACACCCCTGCAAATAGGCTGACGTTGTTCCTCGGAGGGTCTGTTGACTCCAGCAGAGCCAATTAGAGTAGCCAGCAGTGCGGTCTGAGGGGCTTTGAAGCGCCCTGAAGACTGAGGCAGCTGCATCGGCCTGACCCATTTTTCCACACACACACACACACACACACACCCCAGGCACCTCTGAGCCCACGCCAACCCGGACCGCAGTGGCCTGGCAGCAGGCGCGTCTCAAAACCGTTACTTTAGCATATTATTGGAGGACTTTCACTGCTGCCGATTGGTTTCGTGTCGGTGGTTGGACTCTTGAGGGTCTGAGATGGATTTGGTGTGTGTGTACTGTCACTTTAAACCTGTGTGCTGTTTTGTTCCTCGGCCATAAAACTCCTGAGCCTGTTAGGATTATACACATACCCAGGGCCAATTCAATTCAATTTCAATTCAAGTATAATGCGTTTGTCTCTTGTTACACACTAATGCTCAGGCGTCACCAGTCTCTCTGTGTTATAATGAGCAGAACAGTTTTCAATCGTTTTTTTTTTTTTTGAAGAAGAAGAAGCAATATTTAAAGACGCCGAATCAATGTGGTTTGATTTTTAAGTGACACATTTAAAAGAGAAACAAAGAGCATACTGTATTTACAGTTTATAAGTCAATTGCAGAGCTGAACTGGACAGTTTTTTTTATCACAACAGGGGGACTAAGAAAATAAAATTGTCCAGCCATGACTTCCTGTTAAATAAATTATGAGGTAATGGGGCCACCATATGGGTTTGGTGCAAATCAATATGGGTCGGGTTCCCAAACCATATCAATATGGAAGCGGGTTCGAATCCACTGTGAGACACCTCCCTGAGCAAGACACTTAACCCCTAGTCAGTGTTGGGTAAGTTACTCTAAAAAAGTAATTAATTACTAGTTACTAATTACCTCTTCAACAGTGTAATTAGATTACTGTACTAATTACTCTCTTTAAAAAGTATTTAATTACTTTTAATTACTAATTACTTTCAAAATCCCATATCAGTCTCAACCAGCTGAATAATACAAGGAGAGACATGAATCTGTTTTAATTCTTTCAAATAAATACTTTAAAATTGCATGAATTATCCCTAAACTGACCAAGGTGGAGAAGGTTGCATTATAAAAACATACTTTTTAGCATCAGACAATACATTTTGATGTTAAACCCACTATTGTTTTATGTCTGATCTCATGACATTTCACACTTTTTACAATAATTCATACAAATTTGTATGAGTTGTACAAATTAGACACCTCATAAAATGCATACGAATCACTGTGAGATCTGATTGATCTATACACAGTATTTATTTACCTCAATTACGTCAGAATTAACTGTAATTAAATTACAGATAAATTAAGAGTAATCCCTTACTTTACATTTTCAATGGAAAAGTAATTAATTTACAGTAACTAATTACTTGGTAATTAGTTACACCCAACACTGCCCCTAGTTGCTCCAGAGGCATGCGAACTTTGACATGTATAGCAATTGTAAGTCGCTTTGGATGAAAGCGTCAGCTAAATGAATAAATGTAAATGTAAAATGTCGATCTAAAACCTGATGGCTCCTGCTAGAAATCTTATAATGGGTTCTATCAGGACTACGATCCAAAATCAACTCAGAAATGTGTCACCGAGCACAAAATGAAGCTTCGGGCATGACCATCCCAGTCCCTGACCTGAACCCGATGAAACTGAACTGAAGCGAAGAAGCACCAACATGGATCTGGAGAGATTCTGTATGGAGGAATGGTCTCTGATCTCTTGTCAGGTGTTCTCCAAACTCATCAGACATTATAGGAGAACACTCAGAGCTGTTATCTTGACAAAAGGAGGTTGCAAAAATCATTTAATAAATGGCTGCCAATAATGTGTATTCGAGAAAAGCATTACATAAAGAGATTTTCTCTCCGTTTTCAATTGTTTACTTCAATGAAAGCTTCGATTTTTGTGAATATATCAAAAGGATAAACAATGCAGATTTATTTTCTCAGCCTTCTTTGATCATATTTACCAAGGATGCCAATAGTTCTGACATTTTGCCTCATTCACTAATAATTGGGTGGATTATTTTGTCTTGTGCATATTCGTGCTTCGTGAATGAGACCCATTGACTGGATAACAAGTTTAGATGGAAAGGGAAAGCTGACTTGCTGAAGAGTTACTGTTGCTTTACTCATTAATAGACACAAACCTTTATGATGATAAATTCCAGCCCAGCTTTACAACAACCCATAATGAAATGACCCTTCACAGCAGATTTATAAAGAACTCTGTTTGAGAGCTACTTATGGCAGTTTATCTGTTCAATAAAATACATTACTCACACTTCTGCTCTGTTTTTACAACATTTAAAATCCCTCAGTTCTCGGCATCGCTGAAAAGCCAAGCCAGTCCTGATTTTCATTTATCACGTTCTCTTTATGCCAGAAAACTCCGCGTTATTTTTTTTTACAATAGGTGATTACCCAGCGGTTTGAGATTTAGCTGTTCCATATCAACCTTTCTAACAACTAACCTATGAAGATAGTTACATACTGTACCTTTAAACAGCTGAATATTTGCATAATATATTTTTAAATCTTATTATAAAGACGGTGATATATATACTAACATCTTTCTCATTTAAATATTTTGAATAATTCCTTATCCTAAACAAGTGCATCAATTCCCATCTCAGCTGTAGTCTATCATTTAACAAGTTTAAGACACACTGGGAATGTCATTAAAGCCTTTTCCCCCCAAAAATTATAGGATTTAATAATTTTCACAAGAATCAAATTTTACGTCAGCACAGTGAAACGATTTCACTCGGTGTGCAATCATGCACAAACATCACCAAACAGACACGTTGAATGGCAAAAATAACTGAATTATTCATGACCTGAAGCTAATTCAAAAGATTAATACATTTCTAGGTCTTTGTATAGTTGTGAATTGTTTGCACTTTGCAGAGTAAAGCACAATAGGGTGAATATTTCACTGTTTTTTATTCAATTTTAGTTTAAATGCAGCCCTGGTTAGCATAAGAAACTTCTTTCATACACATTACAAAAGAGAATTGATCTAAAAGAGGGTGTTTTTATTTTATTTTCTTCAGTTGCAGTGCATTGAGGTTGCTTGGTCACCTTACTTATCTGTATTGACCAGCATTTCAATACTGGTTCTGTAAAGAATACATTATACATATACCCTACATAGGGTCACAGAAAGTATTAGCAGAACAGCATATGTACGTGTCACGATTCTCCTTAAGGAATGCCTGGGTGCGTATGTTTTGTGTGGGCGCGTAGTTGCGTGAAATGTAAATGAGTGTGTTTGCTTGTGTATGTATGCTCATGAGTGTCAGTATGCTTGTCTGCACTCTATAGAAACGTTTGAGTTAGGAGATATGTCCTGTCAGTTCACTCTGAGAACGTGTTTGCATTTGTGTGTGTGTGAGTGAGAGCACCAGGCCTGTGAGTTAGACTGTGCTGTATTGATAAGACGGGAAGCTTGCAGCGGTGTGTGACTTTGGCCCTCTCTCTTTGCAGGTAAAGGACCAGAAACTCTGTTCGCAGGGCATAAGCTGAATGACAATGAGTGGCACTCTGTGAAGGTGGTGCGCCGTGGGAAGAGCCTGCAGCTCTCTGTTGACAATGTGACCGTGGAGGGTGAGCGGAAGACCTCACACACACACTAGACAATTATTACAGTTATAATAGAGTCGAGATTAAATCTTATTATGCCTGCGTACACTACATTCAAATGTTTGGGGGCAGTAAGATTTCCTGGTGGATTCCTTTCAAAGTTTCCACAATATTACTAAGCAGCACAATAGTTTTCACCATTTGTAATAATAAGAAATGTTTCTCGGACACCAAATCAGCATATAAGGATGATTTCTGAAGGATCATTTGATACTGAAGACGGCAGTATTGGCTGATGAATTCAACATTTTTTGTTGTTGTTGTTGTTGTTGTTGTTGATTTATTCTATTTTTTATTAAATGCAGCCCTGGTGAGCATAAGAAACTTCTTTCATAAACATAAAAAAATCTCACTGACCCCAAACTTTTGAACAGTGTATATAAGATAATATGAACATGAAATTTTAAAAGGAAAACATTTCGGACTGAAATTAAACTTTAAAGTGAACGGAAACATGCTAACTGTACCCTAACCAGGTGTGATCCATTATTAGCCTTGGTTTCCCCGCGATTTTATTCGCCAAATTTACGGCTGAGATTGGGAACAAATCACAGAACAGGGAGGGAGCGGCAAGGCGATGACGACGTCTATGCGACACCGATATTTGTTTATATATATATGGATCCATCTTGGCAGCAGACGCAAAGTTACCTTAAATACAGCCTTTGTGTATACAGTACATACCGTAAAACTTCTAATAATAGCCCAAGCTTTTATTTTCCAACATCGTCGAACTGCACCGGCTTGTATTTGAGACGGGCGTCTATATGATACCGGCCTTTATAATTTAGTATTGAGATTTTGTACATTGAGTCTGTAATTTCTAAAAATCTCCAAATGCTCCACATGAAACTGCGGCCTTCCAACCTTTTACTATAGTGTCAATTGATTCGTGTTATTTGAAGACGTGAGACTGCGCGCACAGCCGGGGCGCTCTCTCTCTCTCTCGCTCTCTCTCGGTTTGTTATGCGCCCAGTGAATGTGCAGCAGTCATTCTATTCAACATCAATCACCGATCAAAATGGGCTTTGGCGGGACAAAAATTTGCTTTAGCGGCCGCCAAAAAGCGGACGATCTGACGGTTTTAGAAGATTAACAACCCGAAACTAAAAAAAAAAAAACAGACCCGGCCTCTATTTGAGACCGGCTTTTATTTACCCAAACCTGCGGTCACACCAGGCGTGTAAAAGGAAGGATTTGAAGTTTTATATTAAATCTCCTAAATATCTGACCCATCTTGTTTTTCCTCGTCTAATTTTCTGTCGCTCTACATACGTCATCTGGTATCATTGACCCGATTGGCTTTGAGCTAGACATTCGTAGCACCCAATAATACGGCTCCGGGCATTCGTAAACCACGCCTCAAATACGAGAAAATGACCATGTGGTTTCCAGACCACGTTTCATTCTCAATGATACGTGGTCTGGCGTTAGCCATGCTAATCCATTCTACTACTGATCGCTCTTTTTCTCCAGAAACTATGAAATGTAATTGGTCTAAATTCTTGCACCTCGTGGTGATTGAATCATTTTTAGTGAACCAAATGATCCGATCCACTGGCAAAGTGTGAAGAATAGTTTGTTTGCATATTGCTACTCATTTAATGAACAATATTCAATATTTTCAGTGAATAATGACTTCAATTTTAATATGTTTCTTATAGGAAGTTATCTTCACGGATTTTCACGTTCAGTATACATGGACTTGCTTGACTAGCTGCATTATACCTAGTTAGGGCAGCATGTTATTCATTCTTCCATGTGGTGACAACAGAAAGATCAGTTTTTCAGGTTCAAATTCATCTTGCACATTGCAAGTTCAGCGTTACAGTAGATCCAACTCTAAATTGAACATCAAAAGCTGTACTTGCCTTGGGATGGGCTCAGGCAGCGCGCCGTTCCTTAATATCTTCAGTTCCCAGACCTGACTAATCGAGCGTGTTTGGTTTTGCCACAGGCCAGATGAGCGGAGCACACACGCAGCTGGAGTTCCACCACATAGAGACGGGCATCATGACCGAGCGGCGCTTTATCTCAGTCATGCCTTCCAACTTCATCGGCCACCTGCAGGGCCTCGCTTTCAATGGCGTGCCGTACCTAGACCAGTGCAAGAATGGTGACATCTCCTACTGCGAGCTCAACGCCCGCTTCGGGATGCGCCGCATCGTGGCCGATCCGGTCAGCTTTAGGAATCGAGGCAGCTATGTGGCGCTGTCCACCCTGCAGGCTTACGCCTCCATGCACCTCTTCTTCCAGTTCAAGACCACCAGCCCCGACGGTCTGATGCTGTTTAACTCTGGAGACGGCAGTGACTTCATTGTGATCGAGCTTGTGAAGGGGTGAGTGGGTGAAGAAAAAGTTGTTTATTGTATTCCTGTGATTTTACTCCAGCACCATGTTTTACATTTTTGGCTTTTAGTTAAAGGGGACCTATTATGCCCCTTTTCACAAGATGTAAATCAAATATTTGAGATCGCTTGTCCCGCATCAAAAAAGAGAAGTATTCTGCCTGTATTCTGCTTAGGAAAGAAAACTATTATCATCAATTGATTTCATGTGGTCTTTAAATGGCGGAAATATAGGATGCTGCATTTGACTCCGCCCTCTGCTGCATCAAACCAATCAGAGAAAAAGCTCATTGAATAAAATCTGTTCATTATTAAAGGACTTTATGGCTTAGTCCAGAGGAGCGCATCACTATTGTCCATACTCATATTGCTAAAGACAGCATTAATCATTCAAATCAAATGAATAAAAGCCGTTTGATTAAACTATGAAGTTAAGACAGGAACTATAAAGAAGAGATTAGAACAGAAGATATCAGAACATCACTGCACAAATTTCAGAAATAGGCAGGGTATTATGAAATGATAATAACGCTGAGAACAACCTGATTGGAAAGCGAGAGAGAGAGAGAGAGAGATGAAATTAGGGTGCAATATAAAGTAAAGCCTTATAAGAGTTGTACGTGTTGGAAAGCCTGAGAGACCTTAGCTAAAAGCAAAAGCTTCCCGAACTATTCTACAGCACTACAGCAAAGGGAATTATATTATTCTCTGAATTGTGAGCTTGCAGTCTCATTTGAATGTGATGAAAAAGACTGTATTGTGAAATAATGCTAAGACAACACTTCTTTGCACTCAAAAACATACAGCATGACTAGTGTAGTCTGAATCAGGAACATGACTCTTATAGTCGGCTTGTTTAATGATTTCCCCCCCAACAATTTCAGGCTTTCTTCCAGTTCCAAAACATAGTTAGCTGCTTCTGAAGGTGTCATTGGGACTCAGAAAGCAAAGCCTTTTCCAAAAGGCGGGCGTCTTAATTATGCTGCCTATTAAGAATTCATGTTTTGGCCAAATGCAAACGTGAAGCCTTTAACCCAATATTTGCATTTGCTATGAATTTTTATGTTTATTAGTATGTACAGTTAGACAAACTCTATTGAAAAAAGTTGATTTTGAGTTTGTTGCAGATAACATGCTGCCTTATGCTGGGTACACACCAAAAAATAATCAGGCTGATTTTGGGCCGATTTCCCCCCTTCCGACAATCCTACTGTAGCTATGTCCCGATTATCTTGATGGTTCTATTATCTTATCAGTTTCTCCCTTAGTGTGAGGTGTGTTAAAGGGTTAGTTCACCCAAAAATGACAATTCTGTCAGTATTTACTCACCCTCATGTTGTTCCAACCCCGTAAGACCTTCGTTCATCTTCGGAACACAAATTAAGATATTTAAGATATTAAGATCGCTCCTGCATACTAATCTATAGGCTTCTTGAGGGAATGACTTGCTGTCCTCGAAAAGTCATTAAAGACATTGTTAAAATAGTCCAAGTGACTACAGTGGTTCAATCTTAAGTTTATCAAACGACGAGAACACTTTTGTGCTCAAAAAAAAAAAAAGACTTTATTCCAACTACTCGTTTATTTCTCCCTCTGTGCGAGTCAGGTTACTAGTTTAATAGCGTAAGCTTCTGTTATTGTACGTCACACGCATCACACACATGACCAGCGTCGGCCAATAGTGAGCCTACGTGTGACGTAGCTTTACGCAATCACACTACGTTAACTGACTACAGGCCCATGGAGAAGGAAGTGAATAGTTGAAATAAAGTCGTTATTTTTGTTTGTGTTTGCGCACAAAAAGTGTTCTCGTCGTTTGATAAAGTTAAAATTGAGCCACTGTAGTCACTTTGACTATTTTAACGATGTCTTTAATGACTTTTCGATGCCAGCAAGAGTCATTCCCTCAAGAAGCCTATGGACTAGTATGCAGGAGCGATTTTAATATCTTAAATATCTTAATTTGTGTTCCGAAGATGAACGAAGGTCTTACGGGGTTGAAACAACATGAGGGTGAGTAAATACTGACAGAATTTTCATTTTTGGGTGAACTATCCCTTTAAGAGTGTCCGAACCTGCTCGGAAAAGAACATCGGAGCCGCATGTTGAATATTTGCGATCAGAAATCCTGATGTGTGGAGATTAGCACGTGAAATGAAACAATATCAAATCAGAAAGCCAGATGATGGAAGACGGATTTGTGCTTATCAAGGTTTAACTACAATATCCATGTTTTATTTTTTATTTGTAGTAAAAGAATTGTAAATTTTCGTAAGGGGAGAGAGACAGGGCCAGCGTGTGCATTATGCCTGGTTCCGATTACACTTTTTTTTTTTTAAGTCTGTTACAATAGTCACTGTGTCAGATTACGTGATTTTGATTTGAAGTTCAATTATGGGTTTGAACTGTTTGGGAAGTGGGAGAACCACTGACAGGACGAAAAAGCCCTTGAGATGGTAAACAAGTATTTTCTTCTACTCTACCATCCATATGATATTATAAATAAGGACACTGAGACATTTCCACTTGACAGCTCAAAGTTGAGCTTCAGTACATTACACAGATTGTTGGCAATATGATCCTTTATTAGCATACAAACATCAGTCCCGAGAGAGTCGAAGCTCAAAGGCCTTTTCCGACAGAACTAATGCACACTTGTTACCGTAGAAGAGCGAGTTGCAGAAACTCTCACAGCAGATATTCGATGTAAGCAGCTAGTTTAACACATCCAGATGAAGTTAAGTAGCGCGTTTAAGTTTGCGATTAGTTAAGAGACATTACTTGGATGTGAATCACAGCCGTGGGAGGGTGAGTCAAGTCGCATTATAAGATTCACACATTTGTCTCCTTGGCATTTAGTTAAAGGTACGTGGAGGAGAATCGCTTGATGAATCATCATAGGATAGAGGCCATATTTAAATTTAAACAAATTCCGCATGAGTTGCTTTTGGTTATGCGTAAATGCTGATCGGTATCTGCTTGGAAGCAGCTCGAGTTATTCTTTTGACGTTTCAGCGTGTCTGCTTGTCAATCAAGAGCAATTTTAGGGGAACGATTGCGTGGATTGCTATTCTTAGCCTCGGGATATTGTTATCGGCTCACATGAAAAGTGCACATCCATTTCAAAAAGATAAAGTAAGCACCGGTGATCTTGATGAAAAAAGAGCAACTTTTTAATCACATGTAAAGTAAGTGTTATTTGATTAACGGTATTCTATTAATTGGCAGCTCACTCTGTTCCCAACCCACATGCCAAAGCGCCACGTGGGAGATCCACTGTCTCGGATCAGTTATTTTTTTCCTACCAGCTTAGTAAAAGATTTCTCAGTTCAATCATACTGCCTATGCCAGACATACTGTAGTAGGTTAAACAACCTGATTTTCTCTATACATTTTATTCCACTGGGCAAAAATGAATAGTGACAAAGGGGAAGGTGCCTCAGATGTTTAACTTCCTCAGCCGCAGTGGTCCAGAAAGCCAGTTATTCAGTAAGCAATTAGACAGCAGGTGGTCTTGCCTCTCACCGGAGTCTGCACAAGCATGTAAAATGAGAGAACGCTAATGAGAGTCTCTCTCTCTCTCTCTTTGCAGTATCCCGATGCATGAACTGAGGGCAAATTCTTGCATTAGCAAAACTAAATGTTTACAGTTTGAATAAATATTAGGAATGTACTGTTTTCTCCATGACCTTGTCAGTATTGACAACTCTTTTTATTTTACAACTTTGTGAAAATGTCTTAGTTCTTCAAGTATTTTTTCACATTTACTGTAGGTATCTTAGACAATTCTTCAGTAAAGAGTTTTAAGCCACACAAACAGTTCAGAGATGAGTCACTGTAGAGAGTATTCATCTGGAAGCAAACAAGTATTTGAAAAGCCGAAAAGGGTATGAGAGAGTGTAGTCTTATGAGGGAATGAACTACTGCTGCAGTCACACTTGAGCTCTGTTGCTGAAAGTCTCAATTCTATTAAAAGATGATTTCTCTTAAGGCATATTTCAATACTCAACAACCCCAAAGCTTATGTTAGGCCTTTTTTGAAAGATTTGTGGATTCTCTAACCCAGGCTTGTTGATAAAATGTGCCCGTGATGACATTTCTGTAAAATCAAATTGAAGTTGAACAATGTCTAGTGAGTGGCGTTCAGTTTGTTTTATTACATCGGTGTTTGTACACATCGTTGCAATTTTAAAATTTCTTTTAACGGAGCTAAAAAGTTCTATTATATTTGAAAATAAACCTAACAGCAATATTAGCCTTTAGCTTTCCTGTGCTCAAACAGTAGAGCGTTGGCGCTTGCAACGCCAAGGTCATGGGTTCGATTCCCGGGGGAAGCAAGAATTGATAAGAATGTAAATGTGGACCTTGAAATGCAATGTAAGTCGTTTTGGATAAAGGCGTCTGCCAAATCCATAAATGTAAATGTAAATATTAAAAAAAAAAAACTGAAGCATTCAAGTTACCATTCCTTTGTAACTTTTTTTTTTCTACAAGTATTTGAGCTCTTTTATTGTGACTTGTACCCAAATGCTCAACATTGCAACTTCAACACTTTCTGTCTAGCTACTGTCCTATCCAATAAAAGGCAAAAGGAACTGAAAAAAAACTGCAATAGTTTGCTATGTTGGGAAAAGCCATACATATGGAGCTGGAAAAAAAAGAAAAGAAAAGATAAATCATGCACTATGGTAAGTGTTTTGAGGTTATAATATAGTACTGTGCGAGGAAAGGTATAAAAATACATATTCATTAATCGATAATCTGCCCCTGTAGTTATAATTTGTGTGTAAAGAAATGCTGTTTTGCTGCAAGTAGTGTTCATTTAATCTACAAAAATGGTAAAGAATGCTGCGATTATTGCGAAATATCAGATTCTCTATAGAGAAAATTAAAATGCTTTTTTTTTTTTTTACTCCCATAACACTTTTCACGCAATTGGCTGATCAACTGATATGGTAGCTATATATTGTCCACGACTAATTGTAATTTTGGCATATTAGTTAGCAGCCAAAGCGCATTCATTACTGAAAATCTTTAAATTGAAATAAATATGTGAAATGAAATCTTCACACAAAAAGTTCAAAGCATCAGATGTCTAAATATGATATATGGAGCAACAGCGTATTATATTTTTAAGGGACAGTTTTCTGAGAACTGTAACTCGGGCTGCACACCGAGCTTCTGACAGGTTAGAAGTCTGTCTGTGCCAGTATTTCAAGCCTTATTACAGATATTGATTTGGAAGCAGAAAGGCAGTATTGTCATCCTAAAGAGGGTTGCCTGATTCCACTGGGCTGTGTGATTGACAGGGGAACTGATGTATTGCAGGTACATCCATTATGTTTTTGACTTGGGCAATGGGCCGTCGCTCATGAAGGGCAACTCCGACAAGCCGCTCAATGACAACCAGTGGCACAATGTGATGGTGTCCCGCGATGACAGCAACGTGCACACGCTCAAGATCGACTCCCGCACGGTCACACAACACTCCAATGGAGCCCGCAACCTGGACCTGAAAGGTATTTCAGAATCCCTACCATTTTGCCTTAGTTAGTCAATGCAAATTCAGATTTTGAAGATGGGCATATTTACAGCTATGCCCATCTTGGGTTTGATTTTGAACTCTTGCATTCAGGTTAAATTAGCGTCTTTCCTGATGGGTATTTACACTGCTCCCAGCTCCTTGTTTAAATCATGTTGCTTCTGAAATCTACCTTCCAGTACTTCTCACTTTTGCTATCGTTTTTCTCTGTTTTCTGCTGTAATTAGAAGAACAAAGAGTAGCGCCTACAGGGGAAAGAGAAAAAGCAACAACAACATGCCTATGACTTTGCATAATTTTTAGTGCTTCCAAACCTGCTTTTGCTATCTTAAGCAGGTGCTGCTTGACTCTGGGCACAAAAACAAACTTTTATTTCACAAAAAAAAATTGTACGAATTTGAATCTCATGTATATTTAGTTCTTTCCTTGTGTGTGTGTGTTGAAATGAAATATTTTGATTGAAAAGACATTAGCAGCTCCTGGCATAGCAATATCCTAGGCTTTTCACTATTCTGAGTTTTCACTGGCATCTCAGTAGAAATCTTGGCAGGCAATCATCAGTTTTGTGTCTTAGTCTACATTTGTAAAAGGTTGGACAAGTTCACAAAAAGAAAACAGAACCCACTTTGTTTGTCAGGACCACACAATCTGACCATGGAACAAGTACAGTAGATGTAATGAGAATTTGTCAAGGTTTTTCTCAGTGTCTGCTGTTTTTCAATGTGTATTTGGTTTGTAATGCGGTAGATTGGAACCATTTCTTTAGTAAAATAAATGACTGTAATTTTTTACAATTTTTCGTGATGTTAGAAATAAGTTTCTTATGGCTGCATTTATTTAGTACACAATATAATCAGTAATATTGTGAAATATTATTACAATTTAAAATAACAGTTTTCTATTTTTAACAAATTTAAAAATGAAATTTATTGCTGTGATGACAATGCTGAATTTTCAGCATCATTACTGAAAGGACTCAGATCCTTTAGAAAGCATTTTAATATGCTGATTTGCTGCATTATCAATGTTGAAAATAATTTTTGCCGCTTAACATTTTTGTGGAAACAATAGACAAGTTTAAAACAAATTATCGCTGTATCGTTGTATTAATGGGGTGTCAGCATCTCCATCCATCGACAGAAACATGCATTAGTGGAACTATCTGTTTTACGAAATATTGTTATTTTCTACAAACCATATGCGTCAACAGATTTGAGATCAACAGTGTTTATTTACAAAGAACCGTTACACCCCACTTGTTGCAGAGATCAGTTCCACTTGTCACCCAATAAATAATTATTTCTAACCCAATAAAAAAAAAGTTTAAAATAGTGCCAAAACAAAACACTTTACTATAGGCCTATATATCCAATGAGCGGCTAAATAAGATATGTTTTTTTTTTTTTCTTGTTCTTCATAGAAACTCATTCGACTTCCTATTGGAAGAGAAGAATGGCAGACAGACTAACAACTGTTAAAAATATGACAACTGGCATCTGGTGGTTATTTTAGTGCTGCTCACATTATGGAAACAGAGTCTAACTATCTATTATCTAATGATAAACATGAACTAAAATGTGCTGGAATTGGTTAACTAGATGTAAACTTATTTGTTCAAATGTAATTTTATAATCTTGGGAACAAAGGAACTTTGGAACTGCACAGAAAATGAATTATTTATTGATTAATAACTGATAAATATTAATTCATGATGATAGTAAGGATAATTAATAATGTTTATTAATTATATTTTATGAATATTTAATCAAATTTGTTTACGTTTGAGATGATTTTTGCGTTGTCACATGGTGCGTTATTCTGCTGGATGAAGTCATCCGAATATGGGTACACTGTGGTCATAAAGGCATGGTTATGGTCAGCAACAATACTCATCTAAACGATGATCAATTGGCACTAAGGGGCCCAAAGTTTGCCAAGTAAATCTCCCTCACACCATTACACCACCAGCAGCCTGAAGCCTTAATGCAAGGCAGGATAGATCCATGCTTTCCAAATCCTGACCCTACCGTCTGAATGTCACAGCAGAAATCCAGACTCATCAGACCAGATGTGTACAGGTGAAAGGAAATGTTATTTTTAGTTGATTTGATTGGTTTAAATGTATTTTCTTTTTTTATTACGTGTGTGTGTGTGTGTGTTTTGGCAAAATGTTCTTGGTTCTTTAACCATGACGCTCAGATAAAGACAACAAAGGAAAAGCTTCAAAGCTACAAAGTATGCAAAATAAAAAATAAAAAATCCAATTGTACGTCAACACGCTACTTTAAATACAAAAGGCCAAATCAAATAAGGCCATAAAGTGCAAACTCCTGCTGTCAGGCTCCAAGGTCTTTTTTATTTATTTGGCTGCCCCAGAACAGGTCCTTTAACCATCAAAAGAGCAACTTCGCAGTATGTGTCAGTTGTAATTGTTCTAGCAATTATGCTGTAGAGAATGGAGAGTGGCGTAACAATCCCCAGGGTCCAGTGCTCTTCTGTGAAGTGTAAAATGAACATCCTCAGACGGGAAGGTGCTGATGTGGTGTTATTTTCTGTGAGGGACCCAGTGGAAAGTGAAGCTTGACCTGTTATTTGTGTTGAAATGAGCATATGTGTATAGCGCTAGTGACGAGCAAATTTCCACGCTGTCCGATAATTGAGTCCCCCCCCCCCCCCCCCCCTAAAGGAACTGCCATCCAGCCCCTGTAAATGTTTTCTGAAAATTTGCTTTATTGACTTTGTAATCGAATTGCTTTCCTGTTCCCCCCGGCGTGAGGAAAATCCAGGTGTTGCTATAAAATGTGAATGTCAATGAGTTTATTAATGAGCTGTTGGTGGCCAGTTCAGTCGAGGAAAAGATTTTCTAAACATTTTTATATCATGGTGAGAACCTGACAGTAGGAGTAAAATACAAAATATACCGCAAGTCGTGCAGCTTTTTAAGGAGAGGTGTGCCATTACTTTTCTAAAAAAATAGACACATTTTCGCCTGGCAGGCTTGCATTGACTTACGTTTGACGGAGAGATCCAAGCCACATCTAAAAAAACAGAAAATCATCGAGACTCTTCAGTTGGGTAAGCAAGCAACCACCTGTACAAAACTCAACACTATGGCAACTAGGGGTGTAACGGTTATCTGTAAAGAAAAAAAAAACGCACCGTTCACCACCCACATTTGCACTGCTGTTGATCTCAATTCTGTTAACGCATATGGTTTGTTGAAAATAGCAATTCGTAAAACAGATAGTTCCACTAATGTATGTTTCTGTCGAGGGATGGACATGCTGGCTCCCCATTGGTACAACAATACAGCGATAATCAAGAAAAACATGAACAAAACGGTCTCTCTTAGTAAACTTTGTTCAATGCGAGTGCCGTATGCTCGAACATGACCAGTCATTTACGCAGTTAAAGGAGCTGTATGTAAGATTGTGGCCAAAACTGGTACTGCAATCACTTTCAAATTACCGTAGAGCGGTGTATCCCCTCCCCCCTGACTTGAGGTTGCCAGATAGGCTGCAGGATCCAACTTTTTTTTATTTTTTATTATCCAACACGTTTGTATCTGCGGCTGTGGTAACTAGAGCAGAGCTGGCGACGCGGATGCTGCAACACTACCGACTTCGTTATTGGTAGATCGGTGGAGGGTGGAGCATCAGAACAAAACACAACATGACAACAACAACTTCGGTTGAGGGCTGCAACTTCACTTTGTAGCCCTCAAACTGTAGGCTATTCACTTTATAGTCCTTAATCCTGTAATTGTCGACAAATGTGGGCACAGAGGACTCAGGTGTGATCCTAATTTTTATTTATTATAAATGTTATAGTACTGTCTTCGATAAAGTTGTCTATCCATTTATGGTGTTTTTTTTATTTTGGGGGGATTTTTGAATTTATTTACTTCAAAAAGTATCATATTTTCTATGTAAATTATGCTTATTTTTATGTTTTATTTTTTTTTATTTTTTTTAACTACATTAAATTATCATTCCAATAAGTTCTAAAACCTAAAGATGAAGTGACTTTGCTGTCACCTTTTGTCTTTTTTTGGCCTATTTTAGAATGCTTTAAATTACAGTTTTTCCCATTAATTTCTATGGGTGCCCATTTTTGACCCAAATACAAGATTAAGGAGTTTTTTTTTTGTTTTTTTTCACCCACTTAATATTGACACGACAAGTCAAACCACGAATGTCATGCTGAGTGAGCTGAACTGTACGAAGTTCGGGGATCGGCTTATCGAGATATATATTTTCTAAGATGGCTCCTGTCTGAATACACGAAGTGAACTGTCTTTATAAAATATCTTCTTATTAAACGGTCTGTACACTTACAAAGTTCTCAATGCTTTGTTTTGCATCTATGGAGCCTCATTATATTACTGTGTGAGTGTGGGGCTATTTTGAGCCTTGTTAGTGGTATAAAGTAGCGGTTTCTTTTTACTTAGTTAATGCCCCCAGTACTAGCATGATATGCTAAACAGTTTTTAGAGATAAAACTCTTTACATTCGATTATCATGAAAACAAATCTCAGAGAACGATTGACTAGGTACCGATGTTTTATTAGACCAGAGTTTAATTTTGCGCCGGAGTTCTCCTTTAAAGAACTTTTCATGATGGGGAAACTCACAGTGTGTAATGATAGCGTTTATAGGAGCTTTAATCCACTGGTCAGGCTGCTGGTCATGGAGCACAGCCAAAAGCGCTTCTTTTTTTGCTTTCCGCCGTCTTCCATTTTTATCCAGCAGGGATATTGCTTCGTCATTACTCAACAGAGACGCATGACTGGAGATGTCATTTTTACAATCTCCCTGCAGTTCCTTCGTATGAAAGCAATTGATTTTCCTCCCTCTCGTGCACAAAAGAAGCTCCGCGCTCCCGGTGCCCAGCCATCCATTTGAATGACTAATGAAAAAAAACTATTGGGTGTATAATTGAATATTGTGATTGAAGTCTGCTTAATAGTCTTTGCATAACACTGAGACATACAGAGCTAATAACCACGCATAGGCTATTCTGTGTGAAGCGGACTGAGCTTTTCCTCTGAGCGTGGCACTGGATTCTGTGCTCTGTGCTGACAACAGGTACAACATTTGTAAATTTAAGGGATTTTTTTTAAGCCCTGCCCTATTGGTTAGCCCATGTGCAAATAAATTGAATCATTAAGTGATTCACTTTTATTTATAATTATTTTATATTTATATTGTAATATTTTATTTATATAAAAACATATGTATTTTTTTTGTCATTTAAAAAAAATAAATAAATAAAACTACAGTGGAATTGCTAACAATGGGTTAAAAATGTGCATATATTAATCAAGGAGGTCTATTATCCTTGTAGAAAACGGTCCATTAGTGTTCCCATTCATCTCAGTCAAACTCCATACTCATTGAGACCTTCCAAATTTTCGTAACAGGGTTTCAAAAATTGCAAGCCTCATATAAAATAAATAAAATATGAACGAATAGATTAAAATATCTCATATAATATTTAGTTTGACCTCTAGAGGTTGATTATTCTGAAGGTTAAGCGCATCTTTTCACAAACCATTAGTGGAAAGAGTATTATTTTTAAGAGTTTCAGGTCCTATTTTTTGTGCCCTCTTCATGAAAACTACTACATATAGTGGATCAGCTGTAGATTACTTGAAGGCTTGATTTGGAGTTACAGATTGAACTGACTGGACAAATAATATTAATTATAGACATTTTATGAGAAATGATTTGATGTTTGTGCAGTGCTGCTGAATGCACATTGACGTTCACTGCTTTTAGAAGCTCAATTGATATTCAGTTGCAGTGAAAACCTGTTGTAAAATGGCTATGATTATGTAATCAGTATGTGAAGAGGCGGAGCTATAGCCAGTCAGGAAAGACGGTTCATTCCATTGAAGTGGCACCGAGGACAATTACAGTAGTTAGTTGAAGAGAGTCAGGAGGTTGAGGGGCTCTTAATGGAAAGGGAAAGTTAGAAGGAAAGAATACAATTTATCGGTAGTGAGGTGAGATAAAATTAAAGAGTGCAGAAGTTTAGATGAATAGGGCTTTTAATGTTGGTCTAATTAGGCTTATTCAGTTGGAGTGGAAAACGAGCATATTTCAGCAAACAATCAGAGTGAGAGAGAGCTCTCTCTTCAACCTTACGACGAAAATTGCCATATGTTTTCTAGCTTGTCAGTTTTAACGCGTAATTGCCTGTCTTGCCAGCAGAGCTCAGTTGGAAATTGCATTTCACTGGCAAACAATGCCCTCTAAACATGGACTGCCTGGTGAATGTTTATCTAAAGGTCCCCGGACATCTTTGATGCTTTCCGCAATGTACTGTATATTTGCAGAATGAAAGAATAAAATAATACGTGTAGAATGAAAGAGGAGTGTGTACCTTAAACAAGACAGAGACTAAGTATAATATCAGCACTCTTATATTATAATTGTGGGTCTATTTATATAGACACTAGCTGCTATGTCATTTCTCCTAACCACACAGCAATTTCTTCAGGTTATTTTAATAGCAGTGTTAAGTTCTCAGAATATTCACAAAGAGCATTATTTTAGATTAGTTGATTTTATTAGCAGTCATCCCCCTTGGTGGTTGTTTATTGTCATATGACGCCATTACTAGTTGTTGTTATTGCCTAGTTTTGTTAACGAGCATTTATTTAAAGAACTGTTTAAGAAAGTATACATTTCATGCATTTGTTTTTAATATTTTAAAAATGCTATTTTATATGGGTATATATATATATATATATATATATATATATATATTTTATTTTTTTTCATTAGTATTTGATAGGGTATTTTAAAGTATTTTATTTATTTGATAGGGACCATGCATATTCATGAACATTGTTGTAGGATACCACTCCATGTAAATATGCCAGAATTAGAAACAGATACTATTTCTCATCTGCAGTCCCCAATTGTGTGTGTGTGTATATATATATATATATATATATACTATACATACAGCATGTGTGTGTGTATGTTTGTGTATTTAAAAAAAAAATCTCATAATAAATCTATATTGAATTTATTTTTTATTCATACTACACTGTGATCATTTTGAAAAAGATCGAATTCACCTAAAAGCACACAATATTCAATCCAGAAATGTGACTATAACAATATATAATAGACTCTACTGAACAGTGTTGCATCAGTCTGCTTTTAAGAAGCAGGCTCTGTGATGAAGAGCCAAGTCATTTTAATTATCCACCTCTCTTCTCCATTCCTAAATCTCCGTCTGAGCACAATCCTACACCCAAACACCGCAGATGAGCATCATAAAGGAGGCTATAGCGAGAGCAGTGTCTACAGTATATATTGCACCGGAGTTCCCTTCTCCTTCATCTTCTCAAATGATTATCCACATGTTCTCTTTCTCAAAGTTGCTCAAGGGTAACTTTGAAGTTACATAATTATATGCTGTTTTATGACAACCCTGTTTTTCTTTTTGTTCCGCACATCAAAGGTTCATTGGTATTTGCCTTCATCAGCAGGGAATTAGTTGAAAAGAGAACCACACATATTCAGCTCATCATGGATTACCCCACCTTATGAAGCTCTAACATGATTCAGCTCTAACATTAAAATGCAACACCATCATCCTTGATTCCTGCCTCATTTAAAAGACGGACATCCAACCCCAGTTGGAATGTCCAGACTTAAATTAGTTGATTTTGAGGGAAGAAAATCAACTGAATGGACTTAAACATGGTGATGTGTGCTAATAACTGTGTGTATTTCCTCTAGGAGAGCTGTACATTGGAGGTGTGGGGAAGAGCATGTACAACATTCTGCCCAAGCTTATAGCATCGCGGGATGGCTACCAGGGCTGCCTGGCCTCAGTTGACCTGAATGGCAGACTCCCTGACCTGATCGCAGATGCTCTGCATCGTGTGGGCCAAGTGGAGCGAGGCTGTGAAGGTTAGGATACTGCTGCTCGGAACATAACAAATGATCTCTAGCTAAAATGACATCTGTTTTATCTACTTTATGCCATCAGGGTGCACCTTATTTCAGGGGTTTTTATTTATTTATTTATTTATTTTACATTGGATTATTATGGTGTGTGTGATCATCAAAGAATCCTTAAAAACAATGTAGCCTACACAACAGTTTAAAACAGCATATTTAAATGATTTCTGACACTGAAGACTGGAGTAATGATGCTGAAAAGTTAGGTTTGCCAACAGGCATTTCAAAATATACTCAAATAGAAAACACTTATTTTAAATTGTAAGAATATTTCACCAAATTGCTGTTTTTGCTGTACCAAATAATTGTAATGATAATAACTTTAATGACAGCCAGTTTTAGTGGCAGAGTTTCCGCTAGAAAAAAAGGGTGCGGGTAAAAGTGACCGGCAGAGGTTTCGTTTTACGGACTTATTGATGATATGCCGGTCAAGTATCTCCTCTTAATTAGTCAAGTTGAAAATTGACGGCAGGCTATGCAACTTAAATAATGACACAATCAGGCCGAATGGAATGCAACATGTTAGTATTAGCCTAGCATTTCAAATAGACGGGAAAAAAAAACACGAACGTCCGATTGGCGTCAATCAACATCAGTTCCGGTTACCTAGCAGATCATTCATTCTGTTCGCTATTAAATAAGAGATCTAGCGCTACCATCTGTTGCTTTATAAATCAAACTGAGCGCTCGTGTCCGCTGCTATAAGTTGCATGGACAACGCGATTCAATCAGATGCGTGTTTTCGCCGTTGCGGAGAGACTGAGACTAAATGAACTGAAACTCGGCTTACTTGCTTCACAGACCTGTATATCTATTGAAAGCTTGAAATGTGTACTTTTAAATAAAACAATTAAAAACTAAAAGAAATTAGCTACTCTCTGCTTATGTAGGCTAATTCATATGAAGTGTGCATTCTCTCTATACTGCGGTTCACTACTGCGATGGTGAGTCTGCATCGCCAACTTTATCAGTTAATCAACAATTCAAATATTTCATGAATAATCATTACTTTCGCCGGTTCTCTGTGGCAAGCTTTATTTCAGTTGTTGTGTGATATCTCTGCGCCCAACTATCAGTGCTTCGTCTGTGCTGTGCTCCCCCCCCCCCTGTAAGCAGGCCACAAGAAGTTATTATTTTTATTTTATTTTTTTTTATTAGCACTTTTGCTAACGACATGCTACCTGGCAACATAGGATTCTATTCATTATGCTAAGCTAAGCTAGCGGCGGTGCTGCCAGACTAAGACAATGCATTCACTGAGACAAACATGCATTTGCCCACCTATCTAATTGTAGCGTAGACGGTGAATAACCCCAATTTCAAAAATGGTGGAGTGTTCCTTAATCGGACAATTTGACCGGAGAGATTTCATTTTGTTGGGCATTTAATTTTTTTCCCGGCCAATGTCTGGTAATTACTGGACAACGGAAACCCTGATTAGTGGCTATCAATTTTAAGTCTGTTTTAATGGATTTCTGTTGCAGTGCCAATTTGTCCACACATTTCCCTGTTGCTGTCGTCATGATGACGATAGTGAACATTGTGAGATTGGAAATCTGTGCGAGTGTAGAAACAGTGATCGTCTCACCGATTCCCATTTCCTGTTTGTTTCAGCCGGCCCCGGCACAACCTGCATGGAGGATTCCTGCTCCAATCAGGGAGTGTGTCTGCAGCTGTGGGAGGGGTTTACCTGCGACTGCACTATGACGACATACGGTGGTCCCCTCTGCAGTGACCGTGAGTACCGTTTTGCTCTTTAGCAGGGATTAAACAGCTTTATTAAAGAGGCTTGTTTGGCCACATTAATAAGCCGTTCAAGGCTTCTCCTTTGATAATCTCTGAGCTAAGTGTTTGAAGTACTAAACGATGGTGCGCCGCAATGCAGTCTTTTTAATGTGCAGATAAGGCAGAACACTAATTAGTGAGGGCCACAAGATAATGTTCATAAAGAGCTAGTAATGGTTCAAGTGACCCCTGAACCGAAGGCTGGAAGATATGCAATTTCAGTTGCGTCTTAAATGTTTAATTACACCAAAGCTTGGAGGTGGAACTGTGGGGTTTTAATGTGTGGGATGCTGTGCTTGCAATAAAAAATCTGACTGTGCTCACTGTGCTTTAGCTACAAACAGACACTGGCATCACGCACAAGGCAGATTATGTTTTTTCTTTAATAATATCCCCACATTTTTGACAATAGTGCTTTGGAGAACGGCCCAATGAGCTAAATTAAGATAAATAAGGTGAGCTGCTAAAAATATATGTATATAAAAGTGAGCAAGTAAGTGTGTTGGATGGTTTTAAACATCTGGAGAGATTTAAATAAGCTGTTTATTGTAGTTAAATACAATAATAATGTACTACAATACAAAATAAGTAAGGAATAATTGATGACAGGCCGTTGTAATATTTGAAAAATATTAGAAACAGGAATTAATTATTCATTATATTATATTATATTATAATATATTATTTTAGATACACAATTAAATCATTAAATATTTATTAAAGTCACACTTTCTCAATTCACCCACCATTGACTGGAGTGGCAAGCTAATTCATCAGAAATTACGCTAATCATTTACAGATTTCATATCTCTAGAGTAAGAATAAGGCATCAAATGTTTATTTATCAGTACAATAATTAAAAGTGACCAGTATACATGCATGAACTATAGCGGCGTGGAGTGTGTCGATGCAGCAGATCTGAGAGTACAAAACAACAATTAACACTTCAGACAATTATTTTACGGCACCACATACCTGCAATACCATAAAACATCTCAATGTCCATTATCAAAAGTGATAATGAGCTTTTGACATACAGTAGGAGGCAATGTCATAGAAGCATAGTGAAGGCTGTTCTACATTCATACACTAGCAGAGAACAAGCATATAAACATCTATCAGTAAAGAAAAAGGAGGTGAGTATTTAAAAGCACTTTAATGTTGGATTTGGTGATTGGAATGTGATTTAGTCAATCATTGAATTAAAGGGATAGTTCACCCAAAAATGAAAACTCTGTCAATATTTACTCACCCTCGTGTTGTTCCAACCCTGTAAGACCATCGTTCATCGTCGGAACACGAATTAAGATATTTTTGATGAAATCTGATAGCTGGATCACTCCTCCATACTAGTCCATAGGCTTCTTGAGGGACTGAAACTTGCCGGCCTCAAAGTTATTAAAGACATTGTTAAAATAATCCAAGTGACTACAGTGGCTCAATCTCAAGTTTATCAAACGACGAGAATACTTTTTGTGCGCAAAAAACCCCCAAAAATATTCATTTCCTTCTCTCTTGGCCTTGAGTCAGGTTACCTGTTTAACAGCATATGATCTGTTGTTGTACGTCACACACATCACACACATGACCAGTGCGGCCAATAGTGAGCCTACGTGTGATGCAGCTCTACGCAATTACACTAGTTTAACTGACTATACGCTCAAAGAGAAGGAAGTAAATAGCTGAATCAAAGTTGTTGTTTATGTTTGATTTTGCGCACAAAAAGTGTTCTCATCGCTTGATAAAATTAAGATTGAGCCACTTGGTCTTTAATAACTTTTCGAGGCCGGCAACTTTCAATCCCTCAAGAAGCCTATGGACTAGTATGGAGGAGTGATCCAGCTCTCAGATTTCATCAAAAATATCTTAAATCGTGTTCCGACGATGAACGATGGTCTTACGGGGTTGGAACAACATGAGGGTGAGTAAATACTGACAGAATTTTCATTTCTGGGTGAACTATCCCTTTAATACTCAATTCACCCATAGTCATAATTACTGTGCATGAACACAAATATTATTTTTTTGAAATGTGGCTTAAACTGACAATACACAAGGCAAGTCCAGATTTAAACAGCCTACAAAATCATTCATGTTCTTCCTTTCTTGTCATCAGATTGGAGATCCGTGGATGAATTTTCATGGAAGTGTTGGTGCTTTTTGGTGCATTGACAGACAATTTGAATGAACTAAGCATCTTTTATACACCTGTTCATCCTCATCCACATTTCATGCAGCTAACAGGGAACGTTCCCAGAACATTCACTAACGTTCTTTAAAAGTTGTGTAAATGTTAGGACAAAACGTTATTAAAATAATGTTTTCGGAACGTTCATATAACATTATTAACGTTCTTGTAACGTTGAGAGAAAACGTTCTTAGAACAACGTTCTTGGAACGTCTTTATCAGGTTATTTGTATTTGATGAACGTTCTCATTACGTTGATAAAAAACGTTCTTAGAATAACGTTATCGGAACGTCTTTATCAGGTTATTTGTGTTTGATAAACGTTCTCATAATGTTCCAGCAACATTATGCTAACCTTAAGATAACGTTCTAACAACATTATGCTAACGTTCCAGCAACGTTCTGCAAACATTAAGACACCGTTCCAGCAACGTTAAGCAAACTGGACATTTCCACGTTTTTAGAACATTTTAAATTAACGTTCCCACAACCAAAATGGAACGTTAGAAAAACGTTCTCAGAACCTAACTTTGTTAGCTGGGAGGCTGCAGGTGTGAAAAAAATACAATCCTTCAAAAGTCATTTTCATGCGATCAACACAAAATGTGGTGGGCAGCCACAGAGAGCTTGAGCAGCTTCACTAATGCATGACTCATTCTCTTCCTCAAACAGTGTGACAAAGGCAGTCAGTCATCTTTTTAGCCTGTCCTCTACAACACACACACACACATACATTTTTTTTTCCAGACAGCAGACATATGGGGAGAATAATTTTGGTTGACCTCGGTAATTAGAGTAGATTATTTAGGAATATCATTAGCACAAATTACGCCTGCTGCCTGTGTGACATCTCGCACATTTTCAACGACTTCAGAGCGCTTTTATTAGCACTCTTGCTTTTAGTAACAAGAAATGCGATCTCTCCCAGACTGTTTCTACATACTTATCGAATGTCACTCAAATCCCAGCGGAATATCCCGGTTGTATTGCATATGTCCTGTGTTGTAGAACAGCGTATTCAAGTGGCTGGATCTATGTTTCATACTTTGATTTCCTATGAACGGTCACATCCATCACCTGAGGTCTAATTAAATAGCTTGTAATGTGTTACCCGTCCTGAGCCCTGTCCAAGGACACAGCACAGGTCCCTGCATGTGAGTCTTAAGGGATTGCTTTTTCCTACTTCCTTTGTTCGTTCAGGATTCACTCCATCCTTCTGTACCTTACATCAAACCCTCCAGCGGTGACCATTAAATTAAATAGATGCTGCACTTTCATGTCTGCTGTTTTGCCTCGCAGCCTTGGACTCTACTCTCACCTTTCTCTGCAAGCATCTGCTCAGCCAACCTTAGATGTTACATAGACTTTTGGGCCACGTTTCCTTGCAGAGGTAATTGTTCTCGTTGGGCAAATCTTTAAACAAAGCTATTTCTTCTTAATGGTTCACTAAGTATTTCTAAGGTTTTAGACCTAACGAAAACCAGTGACTTGTTTTAAAAGTACTTCTACTATGAGACATTTGAGGTGTTTCATATTTTTATGGAAACTGTGATTAAGTTAAATTAGCTAAAACACAATGTTTAACGGTCACTTTTACAAAACAAATTGTCTGCCCCTGATCTTGTGAACATAACTATGTCAATTACTCAGTATATGTACTTACTAAGGTATATGTATTCAGTATATTTAGTATAAATCGAATTATCTAATATCTTAGGTCAGTAAGTTCATACTATGGTTCCTCTTTTTTTTATTATTGGTAATTTGTCTGAGTGCTGTGTTACATGAAGCAGAATAATTAACAGTTCTTGGTGTCACCATACAAATGAATCCATCATGGAGACATTTTCTGAAAGCCAATAGGATACCAGGGTCAATTGATCCATATAACCCTCAGATTCCTAGTGTAAGGTTCATTGTATGGAATATAGGTTTTTACCAATTGGACGTGCTCCAGTTGAGAACAGGATATGGGATTGACATATATGGGTCACCAAAAGCGGTGGAAGGAAGATGTCTTTAACCAGAGAGCTTTCATGAGTTTTGGATTGACATCTGGAAACAAAGCCGTCTCACTAGGTATTAAGTGAGTGGAATGAAATCTGATTGTTTTCAAAGAAGCTTCTTTAAGCAGGAGAGTGAATGACAACACAATCATTTAAAAAAAAATATGTATATATTCAAAAAAGTAAAAGTATGTTTGGGTGATCTGGTTCATTAAATCCTCCACCTTTCTCTCTAAATCAACATCAGTATTAAAGTATTCAGAGTTGCCATCAATCATGAAAAAAAAGAAAGATAAAATACTGATTAAGCCTGATGTTTATTTTCTATCATTCAACAGCATTTGTGGCTAAATTCTGAATTACAAAAAAATTACAAAAATAATATTTACTGCATTTTTTACAGTCAGCAGTTGAAATTCCTTTGAATAATAATTTTTCCAGATGTACTGGGCTGTAAGCTAAAGGTTCGTCTTTGACCATTATATTCCTCAGTCTACGTGAGTGATATCACGGTGAGGAAATTTTCACACCGGTAATTAAAGTTGTGAAGTTGCGAAAACACCTGTATTACCAATAACACCTGGGATGGGTGTTGCGTGCACTTGCCTTTCACTTTGCCATCACACATACTCTGTATATAAGGCTATCAGTATGGGCTGTATTCTTTAGTAAAATGTTTAATAAAAAGGTTCATGATTTTTTTTTTTTTTTTAATGAAATTAGAAAATATTTAAAAGTCGTTCTATGCATATATTCTC